AAGAAGCTGGAATTTATTCATCTTTCACAGCTAAATATGACATAAATGCAGGTTTATGTGGCAGAGACAACCTTCACGGTAGTTAATTTTTATATTCATAATTATGTACACGACGGGTTCTAGCAAGAATATCGTTTAAATCTTTAATTAGCGTGTGTACATATCAGTCTGGTTCAAGTGCCGGGGGATTGGAACTTAGTACCTGGGTAACGTCACCCAAAAGTTCCGATTCCCTGGACTTTTTAGTTATGCAAGTTACAGGGAAACGGAACCCACTTGTCGCAGGAATTAGCGGGCCTCGATTCCCCGGTACCCTCTTACGCAAAAGTTACGATTCCCCGGAACCCAACATTTTTCTTCCATTTTTCATAAATTGGATAAATTTCCGCAGAAAATTTGGATTATCTCAAATTAACTCCCACAAATGAAGAACATTAGATAAAAAAATTAGAATTTTTTATTTGGGCGAAGTTTTATAAATCGCAAATATCTGACAAATTTGAGGAGCGGCAAGCTCAAAAAGGTACGGGGAATCGTCACCCAACAATTATTTTTAGGGAAAAATTCAATTATTTTTATGGGAAAATAATTATAACATAATAATAACGTAATAATTGTAACAATAACTGCAAAATAACTGTATTTTTCCCTGAAAATAATTTTTGGGTGACTATTCCCCGTACCTTTTTGAGCTTGCCGCTCCTCAAATTTGTCAGATATTTGCGATTTATAAAACTTCGCCCAAATAAAAAATTCTAATTTTTTTATCTAATGTTCTTCATTTGTGGGAGTTAATTTGAGATAATCCAAATTTTCTGCGGAAATTTATCCAATTTATGAAAAATGGAAGAAAAATGTTGGGTTCCGGGGAATCGTAACTTTTGCATAAGAGGGTACCGGGGAATCGAGGCCCGCTAAATCCTGCGACAAGTGGGTTCCGTTTCCCTGTAACTTGCATAACTAAAAAGTCCAGGGAATCGGAACTTTTGGGTGACGTTACTCAGGTACTAAGTTCCAATCCCCCGGCACTTGAACCAGACTGCATATTTTACATATGTGCAAATTATACATACGTATCCACAATTACTTCAACGGCCTGCAAAATTATTTAAGCTGGCATAAATTTCGTTTCGCACGATTGCCGAAATTCTTCAAAGATCCAAATCCACAATGTTTACCGAAATTTAAAAAAAATATGATTTAGGGATCTTCGGCAAGTTAAGTACGCTGAAGTAAAAAATATATTAATACCAGGGAGAATACGGTGGCGGATTTCAAAAACAAGTGCAGGTACACTAATCGTAACTGCAGCACCCCAAACTATAAAAAATGTTGAAAAGGATCCATTTAATCCAACAGCATCACCTTCTTCTTTGTCTCGAAACTTTTTCTGAAATTCAGGGGCCGCAGGCTTCCTATGCAAATTATGGCGAGCGACTAATTCTTGCTCGATACGATGGTGAAGACCAGTCTCAACCAGAGACTTATAGAAAATTGGTAGCTTTGAGTTTCCCGTATATTGAAATGCCGTACCGTGAGATGCCATTGGTAAAATCTCTTTTCTTCTGTAAAATTGATGCCAAGGGTAGTTCTTCGACAAGAAAGCGAATTCCGCTTCAATTGAATCCTTGTTGGAAATGTATACTGTTTTTCCACATGCAACCACTTCGATTTCTATTAGTCGTTGTAACTCTGTTTGATTTGGATCTCTGGTGTAATTGAAATTTCCTGGGAAGTGTGAATGGGTTGGTAGAAATAAGTTTAGAACTAGGTTATAATGTTTCCTTAGATGAGCACTCGCATGAAGATTACCATGTGTGAATATAGAGTTGTATAGGTAGTCCAGAAATTCAGGGTATTTATCATTTATAACTGTTGACCGAGGATTAGATGGACGCATGGAATAAAGGTTGAAGTTCGATTGTCTGTACGGATTATGTTTTTGGTTTAATACTGGCTCAGATAACCAAAATAAATACCACACGATTTTGGCCACTGTACTAATCGTGTCGTTAGGTTCAGGACCGTGCTGACGATTGATATTAGAATAGATATCATCAGTTTCATTAAGTGATACTCTACTAGACAAGAGATCATTGTAAAATGTTTGTAAATTGTATTTAAAGCGATCATTAGTGCCAAAGTGATCAACAATGTCAACCACAGCTGAGGCTGAAATGGAGCGATATAAATTCCAAATGGCTGGTAGCGCTCCCTGTAGCATGTGAAATATTGAAACCCAGTATTTCTCGTGATAACTGGTGTAACTGGCACAATCACTTGAAACCTATCACTGCCGGAAACAGCAGTGACAAAATCTTCGTTTCCAAGCTTATAGTCGAATCCTAATTGGGGATATATTTCTGGGCACAGCTTTGCCCAGGTTAGATAGATGGTCAACTTCGACAATACAAAAAGAGTCCAGAGCTCCATGGTGTAATTTTCGTTACGATCGAACGGATGGATAGATTCTTCTGATGAGGATGGTTTAAAAATTTTTATCGGTTGCCACATTTGCAACCCAAGACACCACGTGTCTAACCATTTACTGGCGATATCTACCCGCCGATCCCATTCAGTAATTTGTTTGCACTTTTCCATTGTTACTTTCCCTCCGAATATTTTCTTTATACCGCAAAGCTCCATTGTTCGGTTGTTTTTAGCTACGTATAACATCATAAAGGTGTAACTATTATATAATGTGGGTAGTGACCCAACCGTAACAAAATGATTTAACTCCTCCTCCCTTCTGTTTGAAATAAGTATGACAAACATGTTATCGCCATACTGATAGAACCTTCTTTTTATCTTCTCGCGCAGATAAATAAGCACGAATTCTACCTCAAGCACGGTTGACAGATGGTAACCTACTGATATTTCAATCCACGATCAAAGACGTAAAAATTTTTCCGACTGGTTTACAAATTTCGGTTCAAGGAGTAGTTTTGGCAGGAAGAGACTCAAACTGTGTTGTGGGGTTCGGGATGAAAAGATATTAATAGCCAGACCTGATGGATCGCTTGATTTTAAATTTAAGAATGCCGGAATCCATATCACTTTTGCGGGAATATTGTGATTTCCAAAATCCAACCCATCATGAAAGATTTGCAGATCGCAATGTGATATATTTTGCAATAGGTGAACTATCTGGGTGTGGACAAATGTGAAGGAATTCATCTCTGATTTTGAAAATGCTAGAAGCGTTATGAAAAGCATTACTTGGGGAAACATGATTGGAAGATTTAAGCTTTTCCCATGATGCAAGAGAGCAGCGAATATTTCATTTTAGTATTGAATGTTACGACTAGCAATATTGAATTATTTATATATTCTCCAAGTATAAATAATAAATATTCACAAGAAGTATGTTTTGACTTAAGTAACATGAGCACGACATGCAGGGCTTTCTAATTATCCAATTTTCTAATTAATTAGCAATTAGTAATTGGTTCTGAAAATTTTGATCTAATTAATTCTTTAAGTAGTAATTACTTCTGAACAAGCTAATCAATTACTTCCAATTACTGACTAATTAAGTTTATCATATTCATAATTTTTTATGAATTAATTTTACAACATTTAAGCATGGCTAATGCCTCGAATAATTCGTCTTTCAGCGAATGTAAAATGCGGAATTATTTTGAAATTTATCACAAATTACGCACTACCTTGAGCTGGCTGTGGCAATTAGAGCTGACCTTAGTTGTGTCGGTTATCGGTTTATTTGGAGAAAATTTACAAGCAGTCGTTACTTTGTCGCTGTCAACTTTTTTAAAAGTATACCATTCATTCACATTATCAAACAAGTTTTTAAGGTTCTGTGCAAGGGAGTCCATCATATTCAAAGATACAACTATCAAAAATATATTGCTATCTCGTTGTTTTAATACAAAGGTTTAACGTTGTTTAAAGTGTAAAAAAAGCTTTGAAGTTGATAAAACATTTGCTGTCACCAAGAAAATTTTGTAAGGGCTAGACGAAAAATGTGCATTAAAATTTTTTAAGAAAACAAACAAACAAATTAATTAGTAATTGGTTTGTCGATCATTTTAATTAATTAGTAATTTTAATTAGGTAGTATTCTACTAATTAACTTTAATTAGTAATTAATAATTAGACAAACATTGCTATTTAATTAGCTAGTTAATTAGATTGACTAATTAATTAGAAAGCCCTGACGACATGTTAAGAGTCTCTAATGCTAAGTGTAAAAAGTGAATAATTTTTGGAGGGTTGAAGCCTTATAAGATATAAGATCGGTATGTCCGTCTGCCTATCTGTCTGTCTGACTGTATGTCCGGCAACGAAAGGATCTTCAAACAAGAAGATTTAAGCGTAAATTCCTAACATCAAAGGGGAGCGCGTTCGGATATGAGCGCTCTAGTTCGCGGTGCCAGATATCAGGTCGTGATTCTCTAAAACTAAGAAATTTCGGCATCGTTGGGTAGGACGTTCGGTAACCCGGTGACCGTGTTGAAAATGTTAAAAGTTACAAATGTCAAAAACACGTCAAGGTTTTAACAAATTCTCAACGGGGAAAAATAATATGTATATATATTTCGACGAAAGACACACTGATCCCACCCTTTGGCTACATGCGTTATATGTAAATATGTTACTGTTTACTCTTTCTAAAACTCCAAAATATTCTACTGACACGCCTGGCCCAAATTAATAATGTACATAAATTCCAATGCAAACCTGCTGAAGAAGGAGTTTTGAGTCGTATGTTTATCGATTTATTTGTCTGGATACATTAACACGGCAATTAAAAATAGTATCTGACTTTTTGGAAATATATGTACGTCCCGAAAATTTGGGCAAAAATACTGAATATTTGGACGGCAGAGTCTAGCAATGGTGCGTCATGAATTGACACGTTATTTCATTGAAATTTTAATTAAAATTGAAATGAGTGATTTTGAAAATTCAATAATTTGATGAAATCTATGCCCTTATAATAATTTAATAATGTCAAAAAAAAAACAAATGGTAAGAAATTTGGTGGTAAAATGGTTATTTTTTCGTATTTATTTACTTTGAATTAAGAATAACTAGCCGTGAAGTCGTTTTCCCCAGTTTTGACCAGACTACATAAAGATTTTTAAATTGTTCACGTCCAAAAATTAGGAACGCCTGAATTTTTTGTGGGGTTTCGAAACTGAATTTATAAGTAAAATATCAATGTTTATGAATGGTCCTTCAAATGAGAATATATTTGATTGAATTCATCTTACCCCCTGACCCTCGATGTACGGGAGGACGCAGTCACTGCGTCGCAGTGCACCAATTGTGCATGCGTTTTAAACTCACCATCCCGGCCTAAGAATCGCTGCTCCATGTCCATTTTATTTTATTGGTCGCGAAAATTTTGTCAATTTTTCGTTTTTGCACAAAAGTGATGTGCACCAAACAGCAGTTTGGTACAAATGTAGATAGATATGTACGTGAGATGAGCTGTTCTTGAGAAATACCCGGAACAGATTCCGGGCTGGTTTTGGAGTGATCCGGGGAAAGTAGTGTGGTTAAAGATTCCTAAATATTTCTGCGTATCGAGTGCTAAATCTCTTTATAAAAACTGCAGTTGGTCATGCAGAATACATATGTTCGTATGCATACCTGTTCACTTTCATTCATTTGACTCATTATGATATATATGGCATATTTTTTTAAATGACCGCATGATTCTGTCCTGCCAGATGAATGAGTGTGAATGAATGAATTTTTCCTGTACCTAATACATGGGACGAAGTTAGAAATGAAGTCCGATGAAGTGAAATGAGTTGTTTACTACAATAATAATATAATAAACCGTAGTAACGTTAGAAGTAGCTCACCCTGTAATAATGATTTGGTTATAACCTGCCCCAAAGGTGCAGAAAAATCCAACAAAGTAGATCAATAATGTTTATGCATCGAGAAGGGTCCAAAAATTGTGCATCACTGGTGCAGAATTACCTACCAACGATCAACGATAATTTTGAAAAATTTATGTCAAAATTGTCTAATAAAATCCGCCGAGTAGTATGCATTATTGGTGCGTTATGCATCAAAGCCCCCAATTCTTTCGCATCATTTGGTGTTTCCGATTGTCAGATACCAACGGTGCTCTTAATTTATGAAAAAATGGACCAGGGACATTTTAATTAGCATCAATTGATGCAAAAGGGTCGTTAACAGAAGACGGACAGACAGAAGGACGGACGAGAGGAATTCAATAGCTCTGATACTACGCAGGGTGAGCTAATAATACTTTATTTACCTGTTCCCTTTCATTCATTTCATTTGACTCATTATGACCGTGAATGTAAATATATTTCCCATCATTTGAATGAAAATGACCGAATGATCCTGTCATCTTAGATGAATTAGTGTGAATGAAAGGATTTATTTTATCCTGTGATCAAAGCATGGAGCGAAGTAAGAAATGAAGTCCGATGAAGTGAAATAAATTTGAAAGAAAATGATTTAAAGTGAATAAAAATATTTAGACATAAATCAGAATGCCTGGCCTTTAAATGAAAATATTTTTTTAATAACTGTGCATGCACAAATACATAATGTACGTAGGTGCATTCCCCATCTCATGTTAAAATCCCATGAGATGGCTCATTTATCGCCGTATACGTTATATTTTATTAAAATTCTCATAGATCATACATAATATGCTACCCCTGACATACTTCGGATTATGAAAACAATAGTAATTAATTAATAGTAATATTTAAATAATAGTAAAATAGTAATTGGTTTCTCATAAAAATTCGTACAAGGCTCATGGTCCATGAAATGAGAAATACAGGAATTACAAATGTAATAAATTAAGGAGCCTTTAAAATTTGCATTTAAAACTTTAAATAAATACTTACAATGGAGTGGTGTGAGGTGGTTATCGCCGATAACCACCGGACTAATTTTAAATTGTTCAGGACCAGAAATAAGTGGACCCGTATTTTTTGGTATTCCTGAATGGGCATGTTTTCGCCCTTGGCGGAATTTTCAAAAACAATTCAGCCAAAATCAGGATTTTTAAAAATGCTGTAACTTTTCGAATTTTAACCCGATTTCAAAAAATAAGCCAAATTTGTGTTCAGAATTACATCCCTCAAAATATCAAAATTAATTTTTTAAAATTTAAAAAATTTGATATTTTTAAGCTATTTCTGAATTTTTATCCAAAAATCGATAATTTTTTGAAAATTAAAAGTTTTTCAAAAATGGATTTTTATATTTTCAGGGATGTAATTCTGAATAAAAATTGGGTTTATTTTTTGAAATCGGTTTAAAATTCGAAAAGTTACAACGTTTTTAAAAATCCGAATTTTGGCTGAATTTTTTTTTGAAAATTCCGTTAAGAGCGTAAACATGCCCATTTAGGAAAACGAAAAAATATGGGTCCACTTATTTTTGAGCATTAACAATTTAAAATTAGTCCGGTGGATATCGGCGATAACCACCTCACACCTCCTCATTGTCAGTCTTATCTAATGTACGCTCGGGCGCCTAGCGGCGCTCCTGACTTTTTGGCGCCCTGGGCAATTGCTCCGCTTGCCCCCCCAAATTCGGGGCCTGCATTCACCCTCTCCAAACAGAATATCTTTCCTTTTCAAGAAAGGCATCTCCCCCACAGGGACCACCTCCCAGTCCGGGGGCACTTCGAGATACAAAAACTCCAACGATTCTCTCTGCCTTTGCACGACCTCTTCCACCTGTCGAATCTCACACTCTTCAGAAAACCCATTAATCTCCAGCCTAACCAAACTCGCCTTCAAACCCCGCAACACTTCCATCCCATCCCAATCAATCTTCTTAATCAGAGCCTCCATCAACCTCGGATATTCCCTATTCGACACAATTTCCCGCAAAAAATGGGTATTCATCGGGGCATTATTTGACTTAACATACAGCGTGGACACCTTGCTACTCAATTTAATCAGCGAACACGTCAAATTTTTATAGCATGCCGGTCTTATCGGCGACGAACCGTTGGGTCCCATATCGATCTCGAACCTTTTAAGACGTGGAAATTCTACCAACTCGAAAAGTTCGGCAATATCTTTTCGCGCATTTTGACAATCTTGAAAACAAACCGACAATTCCTCTAATGAACCGGCCACATGATTCAACAATCTTATCAATAACACGTTATCTATGTTGGGACGGTAATCACAATTCAGGCGACGGATCACGTGACAATTTTCCAGAACCTTGTCCAAATCATCACTTAATTTGCGAAACATCTCATCTTCTTCTTCAATTCGACAGTCCACGTGCCAATTTGGATTAGCGAAATGCAACATTTCATGTCTATAAAGAAACAATTTCGGCCGGTTCTGGGCGGGTTCGCGGTAGGTGTAGAACTTGAACCGAATTTCGGATCGTGCCTTCATCCAGGAGACGGCTTCACTCTCCCAGAGGGATGACACGAGACGGCAATTCTTTAAGGTTGGTAGGGCCAAGAAGGAAAATATTTTGGAGAGTATCTACATACATATTTTCAAATTTTTAGAAACAGTTTTGGATAAAATATGATTTTAGGGACAAATTATAAATTCCTACCAACGTGTTCTCGAGGGCGCCGTAAGGTTCGGTTGTGTCAGGGGGGAAATATTCGATTCTGGGAAATAAGGAGGTGTCGAACGTTGTGGAAATGCTTCTCGCCTAAAATAGCGATTGACAACTTGACTAAAACCGAAGTAAAATATTGAGATGTTTGACACAGTCATTTGTAGCTAAGCAAATTGAATGCAACCTTTAAAAGCTGCATACTGCCTCTTAACGGCGAAGTACACACATTTGTGTAGTATTTTATTTTCTGTTGACGACGAAATAAACCGGAAATAAACCGAAATAAACCGGAACTGCAGAAATTTCCTTGACACCAAAATTTCGTTAAAAACAGAATATTTCTTCGGTATTTTGTGAAAAACTCGATGGTGAAAAGTGGAATTTTTTCGATATTTTTCTCCTAAAATTTTGGAATTTTCCCTATACCGACCAATGTTAAAAAGTGTATTTTTCGTGTTTTTCGTCAAAAACTCGAATATTGCAAACCTGGAAAAATTTAATTGGTTGCTATCAGGTATAATTTTGAAATCAAAATCGTACCGAAGGGAAATTTTATTTAAAAATTAGTAGTCCGAAAGAGGTTAAGAAGGCCCCATATCTTCGTCATATTTTCGAAGATTTACTGACGAAGGGTATGTATTGAAGAAATTCGAAATTTCTTAAAAAGTTGAGTTTGCTATTAGGTATGATAGAGTAACTATCTGGGATAATAAAAATATAAATTTCTCCCAAATTCGATTTTTGGCGATGCGGGGGTTTGGCACCTTTGAGGGGGTGTGGCGGGCGTAAATGGGCTCATGGAGTCTAACCCTCCTGCACTTTTTCGACACTCATGTATGTACATACGTCGGATATGAATGAAAAATGGCTTTTTCCATTTATTGACGTACAGTCGAAAAAATTTTCTGAGAATGTTTACGGTCACTAGAGTAGGTCACGTAGGTCAAAGCATGTTTTCTCATATTTGTCATATTTTCGGGTTTTGGGACCTATTCATATTCCCGATCATATTTCGGGCTGTTTTCGTTCATTTTATGATTTTTGGCCAAATTCTAAGATTTGGCAAACAAATCGACAGAAAATGACAAAAAATTGACTTTTATCAAAATGTTTCAATCTGAGAAACTTTCAGAAATTTACGTTCAGTTTCGCCTAAGGTGATTTAATTCATTGGGAATGAATTAAATCACCCCAGTACTTGTTTTATTGATAAAAATTGATTATCACAAGAAAATATATCAAAAAGTTAAGCCAAAAATTAAAAAAATAAAGTCATTTTTATGGTCATATTTTGAGGTTTTATCGGTCATTCATATCCGACGTCTGCTCATGTAGTACTACGACATATCCAAAGGAGATCGAAATCGGGCGCCGAGAACATGTGACCTTCTAATCCTCACTCAACTCCATGACTTTTGAGATAAATACAACTATTAAAATTTTAATCTAAATCTAATTATTGGTACATACTTCAAATAAATCGATTTGAAAATATAACAAAACTTATTCTTGGGGAAATTTGTAGTGAAAAAATGGCAAACAAATTGGCTCTGTTTTCAAATCGGCATGTTTTTGTAATATATAAGATTACTAAAATTTCAAAATGTTGAAGTTGAATTTACCTCAAAAATCATGGACTTGATTTACCGTAAAACCTCTATTTATAGCCAGCGGCGTAGCCAAGGGGGGGGCAAGGGGGGCTTGAGCCCCACCCAGAGCCCGGAAAAATAAAAATAAAATACTGAAAAATCGCTAAAATTTGCAAAAAATTAAAAAAAGAAGTTACGTATGAAGTTATATGTTAGACATTATAGGAATTCGTTATTCCTTCGTGCCCTTAGTATTTTCTGTGTCAAAAAATAAGGTACGACAGCGAAGAGATTTTGTAAGCGTTGTAAAACTGCTAAAAAATCACGCTACAATATAAGTACGTACGTATGTATGTTAGCACCAAATTGTTTTCTCCAATTTTAATCGGACGAATTTTAAATTGTTACCGCACACAAATTAAAATATCTACAGTTGTGTATTTTAGTGGATGCCCTTTGTGTCGTATTTTTAACCAAAGCATCCAAGTTTCAAATTTTAAAAGTTTCTAGTAAAGTATTATTTGTGTTCCTTAATGTTTGTAATCGGATTACCCACGGAGTATTTATTTGTTCTCATTTTGTTTTATTAAGCAATATTGTATTGATGAGGGCTCATGGTCATATCAAATGCTAATAAATTGAATTTTATTGTGATCGGGTTAAAATTGGAAAAGTTACAGCGTTTTGAAAAATCTTGACTTTGGTTAAAAAATTCGGACAAACGGAAACTGGGCTCGTCTTGTCTTGCAAGTTCGTCCCGTAGATAGTAACAAGATGAGACAAGACGTATGTATAATCTTGTCTTATCCCGTCTTGTGGGAAGCCATAGTAAAAATGTCAATGAAAAACATTGACGGGATCAATAGTTCTTGCTCTATCGGGGGCCGAAAAATGAATGGTACAGGAATAAATTTACACCCTTTATATTAGTCCTTTATCTTTTGGCTAATTATTCCGATCATGCCCTAAGCTCTTTGCTGTTGACTTTTGACAAATTTTTCTCAAGTAGAGACTGGTTTGAGCTTTTAGTAATCTTTAAAATTTTGCTATTAAACCTTTCATGCAGTGCCCGATCTTAGATTTTGGCGCCCTGGGCAAGCATATGAGGCGCCCCAGCCCCTCTAAAAAATCATAAATTTCTACAACTAACTTGCTAAATTAGTTTTTTATGCTTTTATACTAATATTAGATAAAGTATATGCATATTATTCAGTTTCATACAACTTTCTTTAACTTTGGTGAAGTGGAATTGTATGTAAAAATAATAATAGAAATTACGTTTTATAAAGTGCATCGACTACGATTGCAAAATCCATTCTGTCCATAACAACTATCCAATTGGTAAAGACGTGACTTACGACGTGTGAGATTAACTTAAAAACCCCCAGTGGAGCCTCATATGGCCGGAGTCAATGTGTTGAATTATAAATGATTAATTTTATCTCAACTCCACTTCATATTTTTCCACTTGTCGTAAATGTCGTAGACGTAGTAAACTCGGGTAACCATAGGGGGTCTCTAAAGTTATTTAAAATGTTTTCGAAATTTGGTTCATATTCTCTGAGGATGATATCTTTTATTAACTTAAATGCCAGATTTCAGCTCTCTACGACTATTTAGGAATATCGAGGGAAATGTGCCACGAAACCCGTTTCCATATTTAGCGAGAGGCCGAGTGAGACTCGGAAGGTATCCACCACCATCGCGCGTCAGGGGCGTAGTAGAATCACGTCTCACTCGCTTCTCTATTTCTCATTGGCTGTATTTTGTCACGGCTCTTGCCGTATAAGCCACTTGGACCCCAAAAATCTCCTGGTACCCACAATTTTCCTTCGGACAACAAATGCTGAAATTATAGCACTTCTCAATGGTGAAATTCTGGCATCAGGTTGTCAGAAATAAATGTGCGGGAGCCGTGAGTTTTTTAATTATTTATGTGTAGGTAAAAAACGATTTTCGAATTTTGCAACTTTTGATGCACGATGCAAGATGATGATGATGCAAGTTATGGTCTAATTCTTGTTACCCAAGGTACATATATGTACATTGGGTTTCTCATTTTTCCCAGTTTCTTTCCTCCATTTTTTGAAGGGGGGTTGGTTACATATAATTTAAAATAGCTAAACTATATTAAAAGTTGCGCCCGAAAGTTTTCGTCCTAATTTTTATATTTTATTTGGTGAAATCGATGCAACGCGGAATGGCACATTTCCCATAATAAGCCTCTATTGACATTTTTAAGTGCATACCAAATTTTACGTCGATCGGATGAGTAGAACAGAAATAAACCTGGAGACAGGCGGACAAAACTATTCCATAAGCCCTGACTCCCCAATCTTATCTAGTGTACGCTCGGGCGCCTGGCGGCGCCCCTGTCTTTTCGGCGCCCTGGGCAATTGCCCCGGTTGCCCCCCCCCAAAATCGGGGCCTGCTTTCATGTTGCCCGGATTTTTTCGTAAAATTTTCCTTTAAGTGCACTACAGGCATATGCTATATCTAAGGAACACAAGGTTGATTTTTTAACTGGTCACTAAAAAAATACCATTTGAGGTGTCACGCTTTGCTCTAAAGCCACTTGGTACCACAAATCTTTAACCCGAATTTCCAGACCCTCGTTAATGTGCGATCCAATTTTTTGTCATCCAAAAAAACCACAGGGATGAATTGGATACACACAATTTACATAAGAAATGATTAAGGCGTTATTAGGTCAGGCATTGAATTTGGCGTGCTATATTGAGTGGTTTTTCGCGCTAAAAGCTAAGCTATGTTTAGCTATGTACCCTGTGTTAAAGCGGTGTAAGTGAGTGAGCGTAGAAATTTTAAGCCTAAAAAGGGTAATTTAGATATTTATTAGCTGGGCGCCCCCCCCAGGACCCAATCCTGGCTACGCCGCTGTTTATAGCCCTCTTCTAATTATAGCCGGTCTCCAAATATAGCCGGGTCTAGAGACCAAGATTACCAAATTTTAGCCGGATCTCTAATTATAGCCGGGTCCCCAATTATGGCCGGGTCTCTAATTATGGCCCGACATGTCCGCTGTGTCCCCGTTCATAGCCCATTCAAGAAAAATGTTGCACATTATGCCAATCAACGAATAAGTTGAACTACTAATTCTTTCATATTAATTTCAGGTTAATAAGGGATATAATCATGGCAGAAAATTTAAAAAACCTGCTAAACTTCGTTTCAAGATGTAGATTAAAAGTGAATGGGTTACTTATGCCTTATCTTGCTAAATTAGAAAACTCAAATTGAGTCAACATGAATTATATTTGATTTTGTAACATCTAAAATTTTTGGAGCAACAAAATTTAGCCGGGTCTCTAATTATAGCCGGGTCCGTGACCCTCAGTTTTGGATTTTAGCCCCGGCTATAAATAGAGGTTTTACGGTAGTTTAAGAAATTGCATTTAAAGAGATTGGGTATGGGTAACGCGTCGTCCACAGTAGCCTTAAACCTCTTGTCTGTGTATACCAACCTGGAACCTGAAAACGTTTTTGTGCAGATAATTCTGTGGGGAATTGTTCCTCTGTTCCGTTGAAAAAACGTTCCACAATGAAAATTTCCACCAGGGTGGAGGTGGATATGGCTCAACGCAAGTTTCCCCTAGGGTGAACATATCCCCAGGCGTCATCCTCATAGTGTAACAAACTTCGGTCTGATTAAGGAATATTGCGTAATCTTGGGTGCTCTGCAATTTTATTCATAAGTTTTAAAGTACATGTACAGGGTAGTTTAAATGTCGCGCTACAATGGAAATTTTTCAATTAGAAAAATTCCTAAATTCCCATTTGCTCCCCAAATTTTGAGAATTTACCAAACAGTTTTGACAAAACTGACGACAAAATTTTTAAAATGTTTAGTTCAGAGACAAAATGTTGGTAAGTATTTAATGGGAATTTGCGAATTTTTCCCATTGAAAATTTTCCATTGTACACAGCCTGACATGTAAACCATCCTGTAGATATCTATGCATGCATACAGGGTGGTTTAAATGTCAGGTTACAATGGAAAATTTTTCAATGGGAAAAATTCGCAAATCTCTATTAGTTACCGAAATTCTGCCTCTGAAATTCAATATTTTAAGAAGTTTGTCATCAGTGTTCCATAAGTTTTGATAAAAATTAATAAAAATCTCAATCCCAAATCCGTACCTTATGGAAAGTTACGAATTTTTCCCATTGACAATTTTCCATTGTAACCTGACATTTAAACCACCCTGTATAAAAGAACTAACCGACACCCGCCTAATCCAGTAGTTGCCATGGTGACAAGAAATTTGAAATCGGGCCGAGGTCACATCCAGATTCCCGACCCATCGGATCCTAGACAAACATATGAATTCTTCTCCCCCCTCACAACCTTTATACGAGTGGCCGAAAGTGTACTGTGCAAATAGATAATTAAAAACAGCAATTAGGTAATATGTACACATTGATTTTCAAAAATGTGAAATCCATGTACATATTTATGTAATTAGGGGAACTTGAGGTAAAAATGAATATTTTTAACTTTTTAAATTAAATGAATAGTGAATGAAGAAATATTTTTTTGAACAGGTACGTATTATATCAATATTTATGACCGGTCCTTCAAATGAGAATGTATTTGATTGAATTCCTCTTACCCGCTGATCCTCGATGTACGGGAGGACGCAGTGCACGAATTGTGCATGCGTTTCAGTGCAGCGACAAAGGTGGATTTGACTGGATAAGGGTTTCCAGGCCGTACGGCCCGAAGGGCCGTACCAGGCCTGACCATGCACTAGATAATAAAATGAGATTTTATGATAAAACTGTTGAAATCATGAAGTTTTTATGAAATTGTTAGAGAACTTAATTTATGCTAGTTTCAATTGCATAGTGAGTTGATCTGAATCCATTCTAACCTTCTAGTTATTACAAATTCAAACTTTTTCTTATTGTTAGACATTTACAGTATGTCACGAAATTGTAGATGCAACGACATATTTTTTATTTCGATATGATCCCACAATTTCTAAAATTCCGAACTTCGGGAACAAATGTCAGAAGTATCTACGGACAATTTCCGCGTCGTCGATTTTTAATGTCACACGCAGGTCAAAGGTCAGCATTTTATTAAAGATTCAAAATGAGAGACCAAAAGTAAAACTCGGTGGATAATTTTTTTTCGACTTTCCAATATTTTTTATTGGACGCGGCAAGGCCTCACGAAAAAAATGAGCTATCGTATGACCGTGTACGATTTTTTTGACGCCCACAGGAATTTTTCGCCCAGAACAGTTTGGAGGTCTAAAATCGTGACCGTGGCGAAATTCAAACAATTGAAATATACAAAACCATATTGACATCGAATACATGCCTTTGTATATTTCGATTGTTTGAATTTCGCCACGGTCACGATTTTAGACCTCCAAACTGTTCTGGGCGAAAAATTCCTGTGGGCGTCAAAAAAATCGTACACGGTCATACGATAGCTCATTTTTTTCGTGAGGCCTTGCCGCGTCCAATAAAAAATATTGGAAAGTCGAAAAAAAATTATCCACCGAGTTTTACTTTTGGTCTCTCATTTTGAATCTTTAATAAAATGCTGACCTTTGACCTGCGTGTGTCATTAAAAATCGACGACGCGGAAATTGTCCGTAGATACTTTTGACATTTTTTCCCGAAGTTCGGAATTTTAGAAATTGTGGGATCATATCGAAATAAAAATATGTCGTTGCATCTACAATTTCGTGACATACTGAAGGCATTTTACGTAGGGTTTTGAATGGAAAAATTTCCATTCAAAACTCTATTTGCCAGAAAAGGAGGGAAACAGTGATGAAGGTGGGAAAAAAGGCCTCGTGATGTGAAACCTCACAAGGCTTCTCGAAGAATAAAGTGAGGCCTACGATCTCGCATTTCGAGAAAGCTCAAGCCCGTGACCTCACAATTTAAGCCTAGGCCTCGGAAGCTACAGGCCTTAGCGAGATCGGCCTCTCCATTTAAATGTGAGGCCAAGGACCTCACACGGCCTCACATCGGGAATCTTACGCGTCAGCGAGGCCGGTCTCGGCCTCTTTAGTTTTCAAAATTTAGACCTCAGACGTCACTGTCCTCGACCTCAAAATCTTTAAAAAGGCCGAGGCATAAGGTCACAAAAACTGATCAAAGAGCGCAAAGAGCCCAAGGCTTCCCATCACTGTTTAGGCCCATGTATGTATTTAATCCTTATTTATTAAGGCCATATTTTCGTACTTCAAATTTGTATCTTGGTGAATTCCACCCAGTTTAATCTTCCTTTCAGCGTGTTTATACCATTCTATTACTCATGCATATTAAATGCATTTCAACAATTTCTCGAACTGAGCATATTACTACATAACTTTCATATGTTCCCGAACTTAGGAACTCAATCTTATGCAGACATCAAGTATGAACTTCAATTGTTAGAAACTTTAATTTTTAAAGGTGTTCAAAATGTCAAACTCCGGCCGGTATATTTTTAGTGAAGCAAATTCCTAGCAGCGAAACAAGCGGGTTTTGATCTGACTAATTTTAAATTGTCCACGCTCAGAAATAAATGAGAGGAACTACATTTTTGCGGTCTCCAGAATACAAGTTTTCGCTTGTGGCAGAGTTTAAAAATAAAATTTCGGCTTTAAAATCAGGGTTTTTCAAGACGCTCTAACTTTTCTAATCATGTTAAAATAGTTTTAATTTTCTGCTTAATTTTTTTTTGCATTTTTGATGATACATTTCATGATGTAGCATGAAAATTTCAGATGTTAAAAGTTTAAAAAAATGAATTTTAATAATTACAGGGGAGAAATTCTGAGCAAGAATTGAGCTTAATTTTTGAAATCGTATTAAAATTCGAAAAGTGTATTTAATAAATTTAATAATTCCGCCACAATCGAAAATGCATTCTACAAAACACAAAAATTTTGGTCCGTTTATTTTGATGCTTCAACAATAAAAATTAGTCCGGTCGAAATAGGAGATAATCACCTTAAATCTTTTCTGTTACCCAGAGTTAATAACATACATAAGTCAATTTCTTGGTCATTTATCTAGCGATTTTAATTAAGTTTTGAACAAGAGCAATGGGAAAAATGTATGTACTTCTTCCCATTTCCTGGTGATTTGAGTTTCTACCAGTCAAAAACCCTGATTTTGACCGGACTCTTGTAAAATTTTAATGGTTTAAAAAAAGGCCGTACAATTCTTCAAAAAATCCAGGCCCCTCATTGGCTTGTCGCGGCACTGATGCGTTTTAAACTCACCATCCGGGTCTAAGAATTGCAGCTCCATGTCCATTTTATGTATTTTATTGGTGGCGAAAACTTTGCAAATTTTTTGTTTTTGCACAAAAGTTATGTGGAACAAATTTAAGAGCAGCTGCAGGTACAAATGTATATAGTATATACATGTGATGAGCTGTTACTGAGAAATACCCGGAACAGATTCCGGGTTGGTTACGGAGTGATCCGGGGAAAGTAGTGGGGTTAAAGGTTCCTAAAGATTTCTGCGCGTCGAGTGCTCAATCTCTTTATAAAAACTGCAGTTTGTCATGTAGAATAGGTACGCATACATACCTGTTCACCTCCATTCCTTTGACTCATTATGGCCGTGAATGTATATAAATTTCCCATCATTTGAATGAAAATGACTGAATGATTGTGTCTTCTCAGATGAATCAGTGTGAATGAAAGGATTTTTCACCCGGTGACCAAGGCGTGGAGCGAAGTAAGAAATGAAGTCGGATGAAGTGAAATAAATTTGAAGGAAAATGACTGAATGTGAATAAACATCTTCTGACAGACATCGGAATGGCTGGCTTTTAAGTGAAAATATTTTTAAATAGGTGGGCACATTCTAAATAATCCGGTAAAGTCACACAGGTAATGATTTCCCGGTAATAAATTAATAAAGATGGCTCATTTAACGCTTTATACGTTATATTTTATTACAATTCTTACAGATTATATACATACTATACCTGATATACTTCGGATTATGAAAAAAATAGTAATTAATTAATAGTAATAAATAATAGCAAAACAGTAATTAGTTTATTTAAAAAATCCGCACAAGGCTCATGGACCATGAGTCATGGTCCATGGAATGACAAATAAAGGAATTATAAATTTAATAAATTAAGGGCCTTTACAAATTTGCATTTAAAACTTTAAATAAATACTCAGAAATCGAGGCAATCCCGAAACAATTGGATGTATTTAATAGCCTACATCTAAGCGTTGAATTTTCTGCCTTAACATTCAACCTGTCCAAAAAAGATATCTTTCCTATTCAAGAAAGGCATATCCCCCACAGGGACCACTGCCCAGTCCGGGGGCACTTCGAGATATAAAAACTCCAACGAATTCCTCTGCCTTTGCACGACTTCTTGTAAATTGTCTTCCACCTGTCGAATCTCACACTCGTCCGAAAACCCATTAATTTCCAGCCTCACCAAACCCGCCCTTAAACCCCGCAACACTTCCATCCCATCCCGATCAATCTTCTTAATCCGAACCTCCCTCAACCTCGGGTAATCCCTATTCGATACAATTTCCCGCAAACAATACCCATTCAACGGGGCACTGTTCGACTTAAAATACAGCGAGGACACCTTGCTACTCAACTTTATTAGTGAAGGGGTCAAATTTACGTACCATTCGTGTCTTATTGACGGCAGAACACTGTCACCCATATCAATCTCAAATTTTTTAAGGAGCGGGAATTCTATCAACTCGAAAAATTCGGTAATATCTTCCCCCGCATTTTCACAATTGTCGAAAAGAACACACAATTCCTCTAACGAACCGGCCACTCGATTCAGCAACCTGGCCAAGAGCGCGGTATTTATGGTGTGACAGTAAACACAGCTCAGGCGACGGATCATTGGGTCACAATTTGTAAGAAGCCGGTCCAAATCGTCCCCTAATTTCGAGAAGGTCGCCGTGTCGCCGGTATTGAGACGATCCACGTGCCAATTTGGATGGGCAAAGGGTAACATTTCATTTCTGTAGAGAAAGAACTTCATCGACTTGACGGGTCCGCGGTAAACGTGAAACTGGAACCGAATTTCGGATCGGGACTTGAGCCAGGGGACGGCTTCACTCTCCCAGAAGGATGAGACGAGGCGGCAATTCTTTAAGGTTGGTAGAGCCAAGTAGGAAAATATTTTTGAGAGGATCTATATATTAGATATTTTGAAAATTTGAAGTTTAAGTGGTTGGATTTTGGGGAAAATTGGAAAAAAATTTATTGATTTACTAACCAGCGTATTTTCGAGGGCGAGGTAAGATTCGGATGTGTCAGGTGGGTAATATTCAATCTTTTGGGATGCGTTCGGGTCAAGCGTGGTTGGAATGCTTCTCGGCTGAAATTAGCAGTGAGAAATTTACCAGAAATTTACAGAGATTTTCTATTTTTTTCGATATCCTCTTAAAAATAATTTGTTACCCTTTCAAAATTTAAATGCATTCTGAATTCTAGATAAACTATCTACTTAAATCTAGGGGAGCGTTACCTTGATAAATAAAACGGAAGGGTTTCCCTTGAGCTGGTATACATATTTTACTTAAGGGGCCGTTCATAAATTATGTAACGAAAAAATCGACCTTTGTCAGAACCCTCTGTCACTCTAGTGTAACACAAAAACTTTACATAAATTGGAAAGAAATGTTAATGAAAATCTTGTGCGATGGTCGGAATTTTGCAAGATATTGAGTTGAAAAACCGGCAATTTTTACCAGGCGGAGGAAGCAAACCTAACTTCCATTCTCTCCCCTGGCTAAAAATTGTACATTTTTCAACTTTGACCAATTTGAAATTCTGACCATCGCAGAAACTGCCTGAAGAAATTTTCGTTGTATTGACATGGACCACTTAATTTCAAAATTTCAATCAAATCGGAGGGTTACACTTCACACCATCGCATTGTAAGTTCGTGAACAGGTAAACTGGTGAAAGTTAGTAAGTAAAATGTATGTACAAACCTGGAAGCAGAAAACGAACGTGTACTGAAAATCTTCTGGGCAATTCTTCCTTTGCACAATTCCCTTGGAAAAAACCTTCCACTTTGGTTTCCACCAGCGAGGTGGGGGGTAATATTCTTGAAAAACGTTTTCAGCTAGGACGAAAATGTCCCCGGACGATATTTTCATTCCGTCCGGGGTATCACAGACATCTTTCTCATTTAGAAATATGGCGTAATTTTTGGCATCCTAGAATTTCATGGTAAAGCACGCTCTTAAAAATGATGTCACCCTTTTGAACAGTATTTAAATGCACTGTGGAAAGTGCAGTAAGTAACTTACTAAATTAATTACGTAATAAATTTATAATAAATAAGTAATTATGTATTAACCCTTAAACCGTTTAAAAGTAAATTACATAATGCGAAATGACAATTGTATACCATGAAACCCGGTGTTAGTTGTCACCGAGTGGTTTTATGTGACTTCACCAAATGATGATAATGTGCATTTTTCTCCTCATACATTCTGTCCCCATGATGACAAATTATCACCGGTTGGTTTCAATTTTACCACCATTAGGTGACAAACATTATCTCCATTAGAAATTAAAGTAGATCCGTCCGTGTATTTATTTATCTGTAACTAACCGACACCCGCTTAATCCAGTGGTTGCCATGGCGACAAGAAATTTGAAATCGGGCGGATGAGACCTTCTCCTTCCCGAACCAGCGGACCCTTAACAATAATAGGAACTCTTCACCATCTCCACAACCTTCATACGAGTGGTCGAAAGTGTACTGTGAAAATATTTAAACAGAATTAATTAGCGAGTCAGTATCGATTTGGGCTCATGGTTTCATAAATTATTAGACTAATCACTAGGTTAGGTTAAATTCCTAAATGACTATAATCGCAACAATTGAAAACCGTTTGTTAAAAATTTTCAAAATTTGCAATTCCATCTCAGAACATGTAAATGTTTATGGAATGTCCCTTTAATGAATTGAATACCGAACAATGAGTACGTGCAAGGTGGTTATCGCCCATTTTGACCGGTCTAATTTTAAATTGTTCACACTCAGAAATATTTATCATCGTATTTTTACGTTTTGCAGAATGCACAAATTTTCTCTGGTTGCGGAATTTAAAAAAAATCAGCCAAAATCATGATTTTTCAGAACACTAACTTTTTGAATTGTATCCCTAGTTAAAAAAGCAAACACAATTTTGCTCAGAATTACATGCTTTCCTGGAATTATAAAAATCCATTTTTAAAAACATTGTCATGCTAAATATTCCTAAATTTTGTAATGCAAGTAAGAAAATTTTTTTACTGGTAATAATTGCTTGTAAAGTTTTTAACTGTGAGTAAATAAGTAATTTATTGAGCTCTTCTCACCCGCTGGCCTTCGATGTAGGGGAGGACACAGTATATGAACTGATCTCTTGTATTAAACTTATGTCGATGACCTAAAAAACGCAGCTCTATGTCCATTTAATGTTTAAGGAAAATTTTGAAAATAAATATTTTGAATTATTTTCGTGGACAAAAAGTCGTGTGGATTGAAAAGCAGCTGGACTGTTACATATGTTGAGCAATGACCTGTTTATGCCCGGAAAAGATTCTCCGGGTTGGAGGCGGACCGATCCGGGGGAAAGTATTGCGGTGAAAGTTAGACCAACATTTAGTGTGAAAAGTACGCTTTGGGACCATCCATATATTACGTCAGAAAAAATTCTGAATTTTATCACACCCCCACCCAACATAAACATTAAGTATAGGGACTTTTAACATGGGGAAGATAGGAAGCCCTAAACCACCCACCCACAAAAATGATCACGACGTAATATATGGACGTTCCCTGATCAAATACCTGTCCAGTTTCATTCATTTGACTAATTACGATTGTAAATGATCGTGAATGAAAATGAATTTGGACTTGTATGAATGCAAAAATAATACACGAATGTGTACACTTCGTCATAAAATCAAGTTTGCATTTAATTAGCATAAATTTCATTCATCGCAAAACTCAATACTGATAATAATAATAATAATATAATATAATATCATAATTTTTCATATCCTAATGAAAATTTTTTATAAGGCTCACCATGGTCCATAGAATTGCAGATCAATAAAATATGTAGCACTACATAACAATTTAACAACGATACAATTAAGATTTTGTTTTTGCATAAATTACCCTGCGGGAAAATTTAATATAAATTAATGGGCACTTGGAAATTTGCATCTAAAAAAATATCTATTTATGTGCATGAATCCAGAAAGCTATCATACTCCAGTCAATTACGCAACAATTGGAGGTAAGTTATCCTGCGTAACAATCTCTCTTGTTCAAATATAATTTTAAACTTCTCTAAATAAAATCTGTTTCCTTTTCAAGTAAGGCATCTCCCCCACAGGGACCACCCCCCAGCCCGGGGGCACTTCGAGACGTAAAAACTCCAACGAGTTTCTCTGCCCTTGCACGACCCCTTCCACCTGTCGGATCTCACACTCGTCAGAAAACCAATTAATCTCCAGTCTCACCAAACCCGCCCTTAAACCCCGCAAAACTTCCATCCCATCCCGATCAATTTTTCTAACGCGAACCTCCCTTAACCTCGGATACGATTCCCTATTTGACACAATTTCCCGCAAAAAATTTGCATTCATAGGGGCACTTTCCGACTTCAGATACATCGCGGACACCCTCCTACTCAACCTTATCATCGAACCGGTCAAACTTTCATACCATTCCGGTCTTATCGTCGACACGACGTTGGGACCCATATCGATCTCGAACCTTTTAAGGAGCGGGAATTCTATCACCTGGAAAAGTTCGGTGATATCTTCCCCTACATTTTCACAAGTTTCGAAACAAATCGCCAATTCCTCTAACGAGCCGGCCAATCGATTCAGCAACCCTATCAATAGCACGTTATTCATGGAGGGGTAGTGAACACAGCTCAGGCGACGGATCACGTGACAATTTTCAAGAATCTGGTCCAAATCGTGACTTAATTTGGGAAAAGTTAGATTCTTCCCGTCATCGAAACATTCCACGTGCCAATTTGGATGGGCGAAGGGCAACATTTCATGTCTATAGAGAAATAATCTTGGTGGGCTGTTGGTGAGTTCGGAGTAGGGGTACAGCTTGAACCGAATTTCGGATCGGGACTTGAGCCAGGGGACGGCTTCACTCTCCCAGAGGGATGACACGAGGCGGCAATTCTTTAAGGTTGAGAGGCCCAAGTGGGAAAATATTTTGGAGAGTATCTACAATCATATTTTCAAAATTTTAAGAAAAATGGAAAAATTGGAAATTAATTTACTGATCTACAAACCAACGTGTTGTCGAGGGCGAGGTAAGATTCGGTTGTGTCACGTGGGAAGTATTCGATCATTTCGAGTGCGTGATCCCCAGATGGATCGAAAGGTGTGTAAATGGTTCTCTCCTGAAATAAAGGTTAAAAAAATTACTAAACCCGCAGTGAAATATTTGGACAGTTCGCCCTGTCATGTATAACTTGCAAACTCTTAGCGTTTAGCCAAATAATGAGACGCCTTTGATCTAATTATTAGCAAGTTTAGAAATACATGTTAGCTAGTTTTTTAGTGAGTATGAATTTACTTTGCAGGAAAAGTTCATTTTGCTATTAATTAACAAAAGTGGCAAATTAAGGCATTCAATTAATATCCCCTATAAATAGTTCGATTTTGCCCCGTAATTGATTTTCAGTTACCATATTTAGTTTACTTCCCCCTCACGTATTTTTTCGTCGCCATATTTGATTTTAACTTGCCACTCAAGTTATTAACAATGTAGGGTCATAAATGGATTATTTTCAGGGGGACAACATCAACCAAATTAACGGTAATTTAATTCAAGTTAGTCAACATAGAATCATTTAGAGGGTAAAATCAAACGGTTCAAGGGGCTTAAAAAATGTATGCTGAAAATTTACCTCAAAGCAGGGTTGCAAGTCGTATATATCACCTTGTGAGATTTAGTGAGATTTAATGATTTATATCAATCATCTCAGTTGGGGCTGAGTGAGAAATATGAGAAATAAACCGTAGTAACGTTAGAAGTAGCTCACCCTGCAATAATGATTTGACATAATTTTGCTCCAAAGGTGCAGAATAAGCCGACAAAATCAGTGGATAAATGTTATAAAATTTTGCACCAATGGTGCAGAATAATCAGTGAAATTAGATATATTGTAATCATATAATTTTGCACCAATAGTGTAGGATAACGCGAGAAAATACATATTTACTTTTGACAAAATCTGGACTTTTGACACGAACCAATTAAATCGTGATGTCAAATTTTTGTGATTATTTCTTCCAGTTATTCTTCACTGTTGGCGCATTTTGCATCGATTCTCCCAATTGTTTCGTATGATTTTGGACAACCAATTGTTCGATACTAACGGTGCTAATTATCCCAAAATTGTAGTCCTACGTCGATAAATTTTCCCAACTAATTTGCACCATTTGCATACTGATAGATCAAGATTGTGTAATTATTTCTTCCAGTTCTTCTGCACTTTTGGTGCATTTTGCATAGATTATACCAGTTATTTCGCATTATTTTCGATAACCGAATATTCGACCCCAAAGGTGCTAGTAATTCCAAAAATTGTAGTCTTTTCACTATCGATGTTCTGTATTAATTCGCACCAATTGCGTCACGGATTCTTCGATACCAATGGTGCGATTAAGATGCTCAATAATGGACAAGGGGATTTTTAATTAGCATCAATTGATGCAAAAAACTCGTGAACACACGAACAGACAGACGGACAAGAGGAATTCAATAGCTCTCATGCTACGCAGGGTGAGCTAATAAACCGTAGTAACGTTAGAAGTAGCTCACCCTGGAATAATGATTAGGATATAGTTTTGCACCAAAGGTGCAAAATAATCGGACAAAATGGATGCATAATTTTCATATAATTTTGCACCAATGGTACAGAATAAACGAGGAATAACAGAAATTTGATATAATGTTGCACCAATGGTGCAGCCAAAATGGTTAATATTGTGACTAAATCTCGACACGATTTCAAGGTTACGTTATGTCTGCCTAGGCTAACTAGAACTTTCAGTCAATCATAACCATTGGTGCGGAGTACATCGATTCCTCCAATTATTTCGCACCATTTTGCTTTAACGATTGTTAGCCGTAGTAACGTTAGAAGTAGGTCACCCAGTCGTGATGATTAGACAGAACTTTGCATCGAAGGTGCGGAATAAGCCGGCAAAATAGATCATAACTCGTATATATTCTTGCACCGATGGTGCAACAAAAACGGCTAGCCGATGCGTCATTACTGCAGCATTAGCGACCATCCGGGCTACAAAATTGTGAAAACTTTGGCAAAATTGCATGACCATTTCTCCCGGATATTTTGCACTATTGGTGGGTTTTACATCCCTTCTCCTAATTATTTCGCATCATTTTGTGTTACCGATTGTTAGATATCAACGGTGCTATTAATTTATTAAAAAATTCGATTCGGTTTGTTCAATACCAATGGTGCGTCTAACTTATTCAATAATGGTCAAGGGGATTTTTCGAGAGGAATTCAATAGCTCTCATGCTACGCAGGGTGAGCTAATAATGAGATAAACTTGTAGTTCATGACCCCGTCCGCTAGGTGGCGTTAGTGCATGGCTCATAAATCTCACTATTTCTCATATTTCTCATGTCTCACTACTTCTCATTATATCTCAGTGAGATGAGATTATTGAAGGCCAGATGAGGTTTCTGCAACCCTGCCTCAAAGGTTATCAAATTGAATGCAACTTTTAAAAATGGTTAATGCACAAACCTGGAACCTCCAAGAGTTCTTATATTGATAACTCCTCTTCTTGTTTCCCTTTGAAAAAACTTTCCACCTTGAAAATTTCCACCAGGGTGGAGGCGGATCTGGCCCGCCGCAAGTATCCTCGATGACCAACATGTCCCCAAGTGTCATCTTCATTCCGTCCGTACTGTCACAAACCTCGGTCTTATTTAGGAATATTGCGTAATCTTGGCCGGTCTGGAATTTTTTTCGTAACTTTCAAAATAGATTTACATATGTATGTACAGGGTGGTTTAAATGTCACGCTACAATGGAAAATTTTTCAATAAGAAAACTTCCGTTATTGACTAAAATTTCGGCTCTGAAATTGAACATTTTAAGAAATTTGTCACTGGTGTTCTATCAGTTTTAATAATAATCAATAAAAATCTTAATCCCAAGTCCGTATCTAATGGGGATTTAAAAGACTTTTCCCTTTGCAAAATTCGCCAATGTGACGTGACATTTAAACCACCCTGTACAAATTTATGTATGCATATGTACTAACCGACAACCGCTTAATCCAGTAGTTCCCATGGCGACAAGAAATTTGAAATCGGGCCGAGCTGACTACTTCCTCGAAAGATTGAATCCTAAACAAAAATAGGAATTCTTCTCCGTCAACACAACCTTCATACGAATGGCCGAAAGTGTACTGTGCAAATAATTAAAAAAAACGATTATGTATCGATTTTCAAAAAATATTGACCATTCATATCTTAAATATATAGTAACCATCAGAGATTGGCAAAACACCTGGTCAAAAATTCATTTTTCATCCAAACCTCTGTCATTTTTATTTCTGACTGGCATTCAGTTATTTTCCTTCAAATTCACTTCATTTCACTCCATCTTCGCCACATGTATTACGTACGCATATGGTGAAAAATGAGAACAGTGAGAAATCCTTTTATGCATTGTAATTCATTCACATATTCGATACTGAGTGAATAAATTATCTCGAATAATTTATTAGATAATTCCTTATTCGATAAATTCATGAAAATGTGTGAATAATTATTTCAAAAAATTGTCAATGAATTTGAATTTCATTAACTAAATATTTTTCATGAGGACTAATTGGTCATTATTGATTTTCCACGCGATGCTTGATACATGAGGCAAATTGAGAAATCCCTGTATGTATGTAATTGGGGAAATATAGAGAGATAAAATAAATATGCACAAATTTAATGAGTAAATACATATTTACTACTTCAAATTGCCAATGAATGAATCCTTACATAATTCGTGAATAGTTAACTTCAAATTTTAAATTGAATGAAGGAATATTTTTTGACCAGGTGCATATTTTTATATGGTCACACTCTTTATGAAGGGTCCCTTAAATAATAATTTATTTTATTGAATTCCTCTCACCTGCTGACCCTCGATGTAGGGGAGGACGCAGTACACCAATTGTCCACGTGTTTTTAATTTACTATACCAACCTAGGAAACTCAGCTCTACGTCCATTCTATTTTACCCGTTAATATGTAAATTTTTCAAATATAACAATTTTTCGTTTTTGCACAAAAGTGGTGTGGATTAAAGAGCAGCTGGACGTATGTACATGAGCAGTTGTTGAGAAATACCCGGAACAGATTCCGGGTTGGTTGCGAAATGAAGAAGTGATCTGTGGAAAGTAGTGTGACTAAATATTTCCCGTGTTGAGTGCAGTTCGGTTAAATCCATGTGTAAAAACTGCACTTGGTCATACAGAATACACGATGAGACTTTTGTAACCTGAGTGCACTATACCAACTTTTCTATGAATATACGAAGATGTTTGTGCGATGGATGGAATTTGTCAAATCATTTGAGGTCAAATTAAAAAAAATAAGTTCGTACCAAGCGGAATAAGCAAAGCCCCACTCTCATTCCCCTCGAAGGGATAAAACACCCATTTTGCAACTTTTACCTTGAATATTTTGACAAATTCCACCCATCGCATGAACTGCCTCACGTATGAGCGATGGATTTACGTATTGACATGAACTTTCACGGGGATGATAAACTTTTGAATCGAGCAAAGCAGATAATTTTGAGGACTGGGTGTACATACAGTCACCGCCTTTTAACTGCCTTGTTATCCGATTTTTGGAGTGTGTAGTTCACACGCTAAATATTTAAGAACCTTTAACCAAACTACTTTCCCCGGATCACTCCGCAAACCACTCGAAATCTGTTCCGGGTATTTCCCAGCAACAACTAGTTTATAACTACAGCTGCTCTTTAATCTACATTATTTTCGTGAAAAAACAGGAAATTCTCGATTTCAGAAATTTTCCACGACAATAAAAATTAGAATGGACGTAGGGCTGCGTTTCTTAGGACGGAATAGCGAGTTTAAAACGCATGCACAATTCGTATTCTGCGTCCTCCCGTACATCGAGGGTCACCGGGTGAGAGGAATTCAATCAATTAAATTCTTAATTATGTAATGGACCATGCAAATGTAAATATACCTGTTCAAATAAGATTTCTTTATTCATAATTCATTCAACTTAAAAATTAAAAAAATATTACTTAATTCATTTTTTATTCATATGTATATCAAAATTTTGAAGGAATATTTACATATATACACATTTATTATTAATTTAATATATTCACTACTTTTCCCGGTATCACAGAATTGTTGAGAGCGTGCCATTTAACCTTTTAAAATACTTTGAGCACTATTAATATTGAACGGACAGTAATATTAATGTTCAATTATTTGCACAGTACACTTTCGGCCACTCGTTCCAAGGTTGCGAAGGGGGAGAAGAATTCCTATTTTTGTTTCGGTTCCGATGGGGGCAGTGCTTGGAGAAAGTGACCTCGGCCCGATTTCAGATTTATTGTCGCCATGGCAACTTCTGGGTTAAACGGGTGTCGGTAAGTTATTTCTTAAAGTTTTTGACATGGTGCTGAAAAAATGCGTATGGATTTCCCAGTGAATATGCATGTACACTCTTAGCAAGCCAGTATTAAACTGATACCAAGCGGTAGTCGTACATGTACATAAAGGTATTTTAAAAGTTGCAAAAAAAATTTCAGAACGTGCCTGATTACTCTATATTCCTAAATGAGACCGAGGTTTGTGACAATCCGGACGGAATGAGGATGACACTTGGGGACTTGTTCGTTCTCGCGGAAACTTGCGATGGGCCATATCCCCCACCACCCTGGTGGAAATTTTCAAGGTGGAAAGGTTTTTCAAAGGAAAATGACAACCAAAAGAGGAATTCCCCACGTTATTATCAGCATAAAAATGTTTTCAGGTTCCAGGTGTGTTCAGGCAAAATCTTTCAATCAAATTCATAGGCTTCTATAGGGTTTCGATTTCTAAAAATCAAATTGACCAGGACAGCGGGAAAAAGTGGAAAAAATGAATTTTTACCATCCACCCAAAATCGGTAGAAATGGAAAAAACTCTGGTTTGGGATATCATAATCCAAGACAACTTTTTTTTAATTTTCAAAATATTTGACTTTATATTCATGTTTTCCATTAAATTCTGAGAAAATAAGTTGGTAATACGGCTCAATTCGAACAATCTCTAAATTTACTATGTATTTATAGCTTGAAAAACAACCAAATTTGTTCAAAAGTGCCTGTATTATATATCAAAATTTTCAGAAATTCATGGAGATGATGAATATGAGGTTTAATTCCGAAAATATGGATTATTAAATAATTTAGCTCTCCCCATAACTAAATACATGGGCAGCCATATTTTCCCATTTTGGACGGTAAAAACCGTTCTTCCCGGTTTTTCCCACTTCTTCCCACCTGCCGTGGTAAAAAGTAGTTTTGGACGGGAAAAACCAAACCCTGAGCTTTGAATAAAGTTTTTCTACCTTGGTTTTACTTAATAGGGAAATTATGTAGCTTTTACAAAGCCGTCAACAAATTGCTTAATGCAAGAGGAGGTAGAGGGGGTATAAATCTCGAATGATGTCGTGCCTATGTTGCACATGGTGAACGGGAGAGGGGGGTGTAGAAAATCTCGGATTTTGCAAATTACAAATGACCACGTGAATATTTCACCGCTGTTTTAATCAACTTGTCAATCGCTATGTATTTCAGGCGAGACGTATTCTCCTCACTGTTGACCCGTTTGAGAATGTCGCATTCCCAAACATCTCATATTTCCCACGTGACACATCCGAATCTTACCCCGCCCTCGAAAACACTTTGGTTAGTACATAAAAAAATTATTTTCCAATTTTCCCTAAAATCCAACAACACTTTCCAAATTTTAAACATGTGTATTTAGATACTTTCCAAAATATTTTCCCACTTGGGTCTCTCAACCCTAAAGAATTGCCGCCTCGTGTCATCCATCTGGAGCAGTGAAGCCGTCCCCTGGCTGAAGTCTCGATCCGAAATTCGGTTCAAGTTCTACACCTACCGCGAACCCGCCCAGAACCGGCCGAAATTGTTTCTTTATAGACATGAAATGTTGCATTTCGCTAATCCAAATTGGCACGTGGAATGCTTCGTTGACGAAACAAACGTGATGTTTGACAAGTTAAGTTACGATTTGGGCAAGGTTCTTGAAAATTGTCACGTGATTCGCCGCCTGAGTTGTGTCTACCGTCCCACTATAGATAACGTTCTATTGATAAGATTGCTGAATCATGTGGCCGGTTTCATAGAGGAACTGGCGGTTTGTTTCGAAAATTGTGGAAATGCGGAGGATGATATTACCGAATTTTTCCAGCTGATTGAATTCCCGCTTCTTAAAAGGTTCGAGTTCGATATGGGTAACAATGTGTTATCGACGATTAGACCGGCATGGTATGAAAATTTGACGGGTTCTCTCATAAAATTGAGCAGCAGGGTGTCCGTGCTGTATCTTAAGTCGAAAAATGCCGCGATGAATACGCATTTTTTGCGGGAAATTTTAACGAATAGGGAATTTCCGAGGTTGAGGGATGTTCGGGTTAGGAAAATTGATTCGGATGGGTTGGAAATTTTAATGGGCTTAAGGGCGGGCTTGGTTAGACTGGAGATTAATTGGTTTTCCAACGATTGTGAGACTCGACAGGTGGAAGAGGTCGTGCAAAGGCAGAGGAATTCGTTGGAATTTTTATATCTCGAAGTGCCCCCGGACTGGGGGGTGGTCCCTGTGGGGGAGATGCCTTACTTGAGAAGAAAAGTGATTTTGTTTAGAAAGGTTAAAAATTAAATTAATTAAAAATTAATTCTGAAGGGACATGTTTTCGAATTTTTGAATTCGCGCTAAAATTCGAAAATATAAAGAATTTTTAAAAAGCGAGGTTTTGGCTGAAAACAGTTTTAAAATTCGCGTTCAAATTAGAGCATTATGAAAAATGAAAAAATATGTATACCCCTATTTTTTGTTGTGAACAAAATAAAATTGGTCGCAACCAGATCTGAGTTGTACACGTAAAAGACTTGCATTGTAAGTAAATAATTGCACAACCTTATTGTTGACTAGTGTTAGGCGCTGCTTTGATTTTTTTACCCTAATTTTCCTATCCCTTGAAATTTACACAATAATCGAATTTTCCACATTACTTTTTCCATGATCTGGAATTTTACTTAGAATTATAAGTTCTAATAATAGAAAGGATTCGTGACATCAAATTTGTTGCTTATTCCGATTTTTTTTAAACGCGACATTTTATTAATAATTTTGAATGTAATTAATTACGCGTTGAATTGGTTCATTAGTTCATACATACAGGTCAATAATCAAAGTAAAAAGTGATCTAAATTTTCCTCGAAATTCATTAAAATGAAATTCAGATTGAACATGATTACCAGATGGCTTGAATTTGAATCAATCTAGAGGGAGCATGTGTATTTAGGGTTGCCGCGGGTACCGGGTCGGGTACCCGTTACCCGTATATCCGCACGATTTTTGCGGGTACCCGTTATCTGCGGGCAGTTAGAACTACCCGCACGGGTACGGGTAGTTCAGTTTTTATTAAATTTTGGCTATAAGCTGCTTTACAAACGAAGGTAGAAAGTCATGAAGCCTTACATTTACAGAAGTATTATTAGCTCACCCTGCGTAGCACGGGAGCTATTGAATTCTTCTGGTCCGTCCGTCCGTCTGTCTGTCTGTTGACGAGTTTTTTGCATCAATTGATGCGCATTAATAAGTCCCTGCTCCATTATTACCGGTCTGAGGAGCACCATTGGTATCGAACAAGCCGTGGCGCAAATGGTGCAAATTAATTGTGCAAATTGATCAAGAAATTACTACAATTTCGGAATAGGTAGCACCGTTAGTATCGAACAATCGGTTATCCAAAATGGTGCGAAACAATTGGGGGAATCGATGCAAGATGCACCAAAAGTGCAGAATACCTAATGAATATAATAAAAATCGATCAGGTCCATTCTTTGATAAGTAATAGCACCATTGGCATCTAACAATTGAGAACCCAAAATGATGCGAAATAATAGGGGCTACTGGATGCAAAACGCACCAATAGTGAAGAATATCTGGGAGAAATAATCATACAATTTTGACATAAAGTTTTCAAAATTCTGTAGCCGGAGTGGCGGCTAATGCTGCACAAGTGGTCCAACTAATTTGCCGCTTTGCTACATTTCTCCGTTTATATTGCCCGATTGGTGCAAGAATATATCAAAATTATGATCTATTTTGTCGGCTTATTGTGCGTATCTTCTCGAAAGCCACAGAAGCCTTCTGCAGCCTCAAATATATAGTTTTACGTCCAGAAAATGGGAGATCTTTTGTTTCTCAAGCATAATTTGCCTGATCTAAAATATCAGAACTAATTTGAGTTGTATTTGTATGTATTTATGTAAGACTGACCATAGTTTAATTTGTGGTGGTGAAAAATCTCAATCCGATTAAATACAATCTATCCCTATTTTATTTATAGACAATTTTGTTAAATTAAAACTTCATTTAATTCAAAAATTCAAAAACTCAAACCAACAACTAACCAACTCAAACTAACTTTTCTTCAAGCTACACCAAGATTGTCTGGGAGTTATATCAAACCGTAATGCCAAAAATTAGGGATCACGTGATAAATATATTCCGCTGACAGGCAACTTTGAAGAAAAATAAATATGGGCAATATATATTTGAATATAATAAAAATATATTTGAATAAAAATAAATATTCAATTTTAAAGCAAATGTTCTGCATCGTTTTCATCCGCTGGACGAAAGCCATGAATATTGAACTCTATCTTCCCAATAGTTTGCTTCACATGGGTAATTCAACGGAAAAATTAGCATTATGTAATTCCTACCTTTTGGTTTGATTTTTTATATAATTTCCAAAGAAATCCAGGTGTTGCTCGAAAAAGTTCCATGGGAAGCCTAAAACATTAGTTTCTGAAACTACACTCAAAGAAAAATCGACACCCAACTGACACCAAGCCGGTGTCTATATATGACTCTACCGGATTGGTGTCAAATTGACACAACGTGGTGTCAATTAAGTTGCGCACCGCTGCGGTGTCAACCCAACATGCCGTTATGACAATAGCAACACCGGAGTATTATAACGGGTTGTGCTCAGCTATGTTGTTGCAACACAATATTTTAATATGTGCACGTTACCGCTTGGTGACAAATCCTTCCCGGATGGTGACGGCTTAGCTAATAGGTCAGCTCTGCTTTGACATAATGAGGTAAAGGATTGGGACACATTTTAACAACGTTTTATAACAAATTTTTTATTTCACACTAAATAATACCATATTTAGCACTTTCAAATTAAAATATGTATTTAAAATCAGGAATATTCTATAGTTAACCAGATAATATACCAACACAAATTCTATAATATTTTATGTACTTCATAACTTATCTACACAAATCATACACTAATATATATATATGTACTATTAAATCAAAAATTAAATATGATGTCTTAAAGTAATAAACATCCCATCAGAACTGCAATTATGCATTAATTCGAAGCAATCATGTATTGGTAAATTATTAACATCGCATAAATGATATACCTCACCTATATTGTTGACTCTGTAACTAAAAAAATGACGATCGAAGTATTCTACATTTAACTGACGCAAAAGTAAATAACAGGTTGACTCATTTGTAAGCAAAAATTCAGAAATAATACCAAATTTTGGAAAAATAGATTCATGTCCAAAACAAACTACAAAGTTTAGCTTATAATTATAATTTTTGAACCATATCTGATTTGTGGTACAAATTTCCGTATCCACGTTACAGTCGCGGAACTGGTCACTATTTCGCAAAAGTTCAATAACGTCAAATAAATTTGAAAACTGATAAAGTTTCTGTAAAAATATGTTGTCTGCTTTTAGAGCAATCTGAGTTGAAAATTTTTTTAAGGCAACTGCAGAATATTGCTGATGACGCCAAGCAAGAGTGTGACAGATGTTTTTGAAATTTTTTGTATTATTTGCTAACTGTGCAAAATAGTTGTGCTTTCCCTCAAATCTCATCGTCCAAAGAGAAATTAATGGACCGCTTTGCCTGACAACGAAAGGATAATGACACATGAAATGATGTTTTGGGATTAAGCGACAATCAGGGAACAGTTCCTTAAATTTGCAATGATGCTGTACAATTAATGATTCTAATCTAATCAGAAGAGTCTCAGAAAACTCACGACAAAAAACAATACTCATCACATCTAAAAGCAAAAGGATTAATTCCCACTGTTTTATCGCTTCGTCTGTGAAAATTAGATCCCCAATTATAACTGGCAAATGCCTAATAAGGCACCACGCTTGAGATGCTTTTTGACTGATCCTATTCCCAGTATTAGCTAACCTAATCGGGCTTGGTTTATTTTTGGAGTCTTGATATCCAAAATCATACGAGATAAGCCTTTGATTAATAAAAGTTAGTTAGATTAGTGTCCAAATCAAAGCACTTTAAAGAAATTAACTTTTGAAGTACTAACTTGATCTCGTATTGCACGACGCCTTCCAATAGGTCATGCATGATATCCACAGAAGGTGAATCAAGAAATTTGAAATATTTCAAGTCGTTAAAAATACAAGGTCTCTGTGCCCCATTTGTTTTTCTTTGGAGATCAAGCAAATAATTTTCTGCGTTTCTGATTTTCATTTCCTCGTGCTGGAAAATAGTTTGAGCCTCTTCTTTGCTTGTGCAACAAATTCTGCAGTAATTATTGGCATTGAATGACTCATGAAATCCCAAAATTGCATTGCCTCCTAAATTATCAAAAACGATGGTACTAACTGTTCCAAATAGTTTTTCCATCCCTAATGTTTTAATACGCTCATTTTCAAGAATTTTAATGTCTGAAATAATGAAGCTAAGAATCGAATTAAGGCCGTATTTTTTCGCATCCTCGGAGTAAAGTAAAGCTAATAAGTGTATTTGACTTAGTTGAGAATTGACATAGTCAGGAGAATTTCGTAGCACAAAATATAGAGCCCCAATTTTATGAACTCCCCGTTTAGACCCAAGCGGATTAACCGTTTCAAAATCGTCATAAAACAATTGTAATTGTAAAGAGTCTGGAAATTTCGAAAATAATTGGTTGGATTTAAATGACTTTGAATGAGAATAACACGCGTAAGTTTTTGAAGTATGTTCATGAAAGTTTAAATACCTGGAATATTCCGGAAGTTTTACAATTTTTTCTAATGCTTTTAGCAGAGGTACATACATAAATGTGTCCTCAACCAATACTTGCTGCCTTTTGTTATTATTAACCCTTAATTCCACCCTGCTTCCTAATGTTAGTTCCCTTGGCGAGACAAATTGATCTTCCTTCAGCAAAAGCTTTTGTCTACGATATCCTGATTTTATTTCATCAAACGATTTAAGTAGGCTAATTGTCTGTGAATAAAATTTCTCAAATTCATTTGGGCAGAAAGGTTTCCCTAATTTGAGAATAATATTGAAGATATCATTCATTGAATATCTAAGTTCTCTCACAACGTAATCTACTGTAGAATTTGTTACACCTGTAGCAAGTAAAGAGGAACAAAAGTTAGACAACAATTCAGTAATTAATTTAATTCCTAGATCCACTGACATATTTTCCAGAGCAGAAGGGCATTGCCCTGCTTTATCGGCGTCAAAAGTTTTAGATATCCCCTCAATATTTTCTACGCTTACAGTATAATCAGATTTTGACTGGGAAATATTTTGCAAACTATTGCACTGATAAATTAAATTAACTACTGAATTATCATGAGATTTGATATGACGCAAGAATCCACTCCATGAGCTCAGCCCGGCACAACATGTTTGAAAAGGACAACTAATTATTTTAAAATTTACATGACTATAAGAATGAATATACTTCACGTGACTTATTAGCTCATCGCTACCTATGACCAACCTCAAACATTCCGGACAGTTAAACATTTTTTTGCGGTTGATTGATTCCCCGGTTGAGCTGGTTGAAGACTTGCTTAACTTTCATGGGGAGGTTTGGTTCTTCAGGGTCCAACTTAAAGATGTACACTTGAATAAACTTCCACAATCCCCGCAAGCTCACGTCATATTCAGTTCCAAATACATAGTGCGATTTGAACAAGGAATCGATGGCTTCGGTGGAGTTCCTTGCGGCTAGTGGAAGGAGTAGGCGGTCACAGATAATAAAAAAATTGTCCAAGCTGTTTTTGTCACTTCCGAGACATAGGAGATTTGGCTGTTTTACATCCCCTTTCCACGTGTCCAAAATAGATTGCAGCGGCGTGCCTTCCTGCAAGAGAAAATGTGCAATATGACATAACTGATTATTGCCTTGTAATAAGTTACGAGTCTTGTTTTGGCATCCTCAATATTGCACCGGTTCCTCTTTGCCTTTCCCTGTGCGGTAGGAGGAATTAAATGAAGCAGCGTAAACAAAGCCCCGATTGCTTCATCCCATTCGCCTGGATAAAATTAATTTAATCAACTTACACAATTTTAAATAATATTATGTAATCATGAATTTATTTTGTACCGCAATTTTCAGTAAGAAATTTTAAGAGAGCCGGAGATTTGTTAATATACTTTGCTTCCTGGAGGATTTGTTTCGTCCAAATTTGCCACGAATTCAGAAAATTATTCTCCTCTTCCGGGTACAACTGTGAGAATTCGAAGTTAATCTAAGAAAAAAATGTCAGTATATTTGATTAGTTGAGTTGGTTTAAAAATTAGTTTTATGTATTATAAATATCACCATTAAATTCCATTCCTGAAATTTCCTATACAGAAGGGTTGGGCACTTACGTGGATACGAATTTGACCTTGAATAACCCTGGAACGGTTTGTCGCAACGGGTCAACATTTTGAACAGAGGAGCATGTTATCCTGAAATAGTTGTGTGCAAAAAACCAACTCTCTACTTTCAAAAATGCCTCCCCACAGCCCCCAGAAGCTGGGACACCCATAAAACCTCTTCCCAAACTTAAATACTTGTACAACAGAATTGCTAAACATTCTAAAAGTGAATGGAAAACAGTTTCGAAATCTACAATCAATATGGTATTGAAAAATATAGGTGAAAAACGATAAATTTTGAGTAAAGGGCAACCACCACCCCCTGAAAGAAGGCAAAAAAAGTGTTAATTTCGACCATGCATAGGAAAATTGACCTATTGACCTTCGAAAACAATCCACTGACCCAAAAGGAAATTTCCCGTAAGGTTGGGGTGTCTAAGCGTTCAGTGAAAAGAGAAATTAACATTTTGAAGAAACGACTTCGTCGGAAAAGCCGTGTGCATCAGCTGACTGAAAAGTAGGAAAAAAATTTCGAATTTTTTGTGAAGGAATAAGAGTGAGTTATTAGTGACATTTGACGAAGCACTAATTTCTCTACAAGTTACTAATTAGGTTCGAAGAGCTTACTACACGACAAATGTTGAAAACAATTCACTCAAGTTGGTGCTTCTTTGTAAGGAGAACTTTTTTAAACAGTTGATGGTCGTGGGTGCAATGTCGGGTCGTGGTGTCCTCCCACTTATCAAAGTCCCCCAAAAAGTGAATGAATCTTCGAAGTATGATGTGGACCGTGTATTGAAACCACTTTTAGAATAACATTTTCCTAAATTGCACGGTAAAAAAATAATTAAGGTGAGTTTTCATCATGACGGAGCGTCTTCCCAGACGGCAAAGTTGATCCAAGATAATGCAAAGGACCTTGAAGCTAGATTGGGGATAAAAATCATTTCGAATAGTGAAATACCTGTACAATCCCCCGACATAAGTCAAATGAACTCATTTGGGGTAGGATACTTGAAAACAAAAATTTTTCTACGGAGACCGAATTTTTTAGACGGAGTTTGGAAAAGGTAAAAATGAGGGTTTCACCTTCTGGGGGCTGTGGGGGAGGCATTTTTGAAAGTAGAGAGTTGGTTTTTTGCACACAACTATTTTAGGATAACATGCTCCTCTGTTCAAAATTTTGACCCGCTACGACAAACCGTTCCGGGGTTATTCAAGGTCAAATTCGTATCCACGTAGGTGCCAAACCCTGTATAACCTTAAAATGGATGGGTCACTCGTCCGTCTCAAATAGTTGCGATGAGAAAATGTTTCGAGGGTCAGGCGTTTCAATTCGCCTTCGTCCTTCAGAGTGGTGGAATTTAATTGGGCAATCAAATCAACATTTTCATCGCTGGATTCCTCGAGGCTTGGCTTAGGAAATTTCGGCTTTGGTCCAGTATTCGACGTTGGCTGAACGCGTTTGGGTGGCTTGGTCCCCTTTAAATTTCGATGGATTGACCGTAGGCGTGATTGGATCAGTCCGGACCGGTTTATCTTGTCATAAAGTATGTCCTACGAAAAAAGTTAACATTAAGTTTGTAAATTAAAAAAAAAATGTATAATTTTCCCATACAATTCCATTCTCTGAGGCCGAATATTTCCAACAAAGGATTATGGAAATTATTCCGAGTGCAAGTAATTTTTGATCAGCAGTAGACGGCGACTCACTGAAATTTAATGAAGAAACTACATGTAATATGTGTAATAAGAGCAGCCTGATGAGCCTTATGCATTCATATATAAACGACTATCTAATGTTAAAGAACATATTGTAATTAACCTAGTAATGCCTTAAAATTTGCCTAACCCTTTCAGTTCAATTAACTTTGCGACAAAGGACTTAATCAGAAAGGAAGAAGTTGCGCTGTCGACAAATCCTTTATCGTTGCAATCGCGGACCAATCAGTTTAGCTCGAGGTCGTTTTGCACCATAGACTCCAAGATCTAAGAAAAACTTATATAAAATAGTACTTAATTTATTGAAACTTATAATCGCATTCTTTACCTGGGTAAATTGGGGACTTTGTGGCACTGCTTTAATAGGTGACAGCACTGGCAATGAATTCCCGTGTTTAGTTGAGTTTTCAGCTGGAAATGTAGAAAGTTTTTAAGGCCAAGGATCTAATTAAGGCTATAGGTAAATATGTAGCTGCAGAAAAATTAAAGATGACAATTACAATATACTAATGATGAGCTCGGCGCAAATGAATAATCCAAGGACAATTCAGCTTGCTCCTCCCCTTTGATGATGAACTCTATATTAGGGGTGGCCGGCTGTTCCAATAAAATTGGGAAGACTTGTTCATCAATCTCGGCTCCCTCGTCATCTTGAAGACAGATCTCGGCGTCAGGTCCAATATCGAATTTTATTTTCACTGAAACGAATAAATTTAGTATAAAAATGCACGGAGTAAAATAATTTTAACCTTATACATAAATTAATATAATATTAACCTGTTATATACCTGATTCAATAAATTGATAATAGTCCCCACTACAAACAATTAATTTTTTTCCCCGCAGTGAATTAGAGACACGGGTCAATTTATCCATTTTTGTTAATCTTTTTTGTCAAGAAAGAAAATAATAACGGCCAAACCGAACCGTGCGTTGCGAAGAAAGACTGACACAATCCAGTGTTGATTTAGAATTTTAGCTCCCGCGTTAACATTGGGCTGTGTCCATTCTTTACCGGATTTTTACTCGGTCTCACCATTGAAGAAACATCGCTGTTACTTGTACGGTGTCAGCACATATTTTTTTCAGTGTCATTTTTCAACAACATTCTGACACCATTTAATGGATTTGACGTTGACACCGACGGTTGGTGTCAACGAAATCTGGAGTTTTGTTACCAAGTTGCTAAGAGTGTACTAATGACATCGACATTGTAAATTATGGCATGCGTTACTTGCATAGCATTCTCTCAAACCACTTATCAACCCAAATGAGCAAATAATTGATTAAATCAAATTTATTTTGACGGCTGGTTGGTTTTTTAGTTTAATTCTCATAACGGGTATCGGGTAACGGGTACCCGCACGGGTACCCGTGCGGGTACGGGTAGTCGGGCTATCATTTTTGCTACCCGCGGCAACCCTATGTGTTTTGTTGATAAAATATTTCTCAAAGCATACATACTCTGTATTCGTTTACGTATTTGATGTATTAATCATGGGCTGATACGTGTATTTATATGCTAAAATACAAATTCTGTTTTAACCTGCATATGTACATATGCATACACATTTATGTATTTTCCCACATATATACACATACCTAAATCTATAACTATACTGTACGACTTATTGCAGTAATAAGTAAAACATTCAGATTATTTTGATTGTAGAACAATATCCATAGCAGCGGCGTAGCCAGGATTGGGTCTTGGGGGGGCCCAGCCAAAAACAATATTTAAATTACCCTTTTTAGGCTTTAAATTTCTACGCTAACTCATTAACACCGGTTTAACGCAGGGTATAGATACGTAGTTACAACTGTGATGTCTGCGTAATTTATCTCGGCAGAAAATTTAAGCACAAAATCATAATTTTAAGATACTTGGTTCATGACCGGCTAATTTTTGAATCGTTGTTCGGTTACAATAAAATCTTCAGACTACCATTAAGCTCAGCAAGTTGGTGTTGCTTTAAAAAAATATTTAATTATTTTACCCCAACTTCGTTTCGAGAGTAAAATTTAAAAAATGACACAAACCGTCGAAATCGGGGGGTCAAACCCAACCCGTTTCTATGGGTTGGGTTTCTAAATTAGTTCTTTTTCTGGTACCTTAAGCGTCAAAACCCACTTGCTAAAGCACTCCATTTTCAATGCTTAACCCAATAACGCCTCAAACATTTATTCTATCTGTTGTAAACCGTGCGTGTCAAATTGATCCCAGTGGTTTTTTGGATGACAAAAAAATTAGATCACAAATTAACAAGGGTCTGAAAATTCGGGTTAAAGTTTGGTGGTACCAAATGGCTTTAGCGCAAAGCGTGACATCTCAAGTGGTAGTTGCTAGTTTAAAAATCAACCCTGTGATTCTTAGATAGCATGTTGTGCATTTAAATAAAAATTGTACAGAGAGTCGCTTTTTCTGCTGGTGACGAATTTGTCGTTGAATAACCCCGAAGCGCTTTGTCGTACCGGGTCAAAATTTTGAAGAGTTGAACATGTTATCCTCAGATACATGTGTGCAAAATTTCAACTCTCTACGTTCAAAAATGCCTCCCCCACAACCCCCAGAAGTTGAGACAGTCATTTTAACTTTTTCCAAACTCCGTCTAAAAAATTCGGTGCGTCAGAAAAATTTCTTTTCAAATATCTGAACCCAAAGAACTGTATTAGTCTTACATTGGGAGGTTGTACAGGTATTTCACTATTCGAAATGATTTTTATCTCCTATCTTTCAAGGTCCTCTGCATAACCTTGGGTGAACTTTGCCGTCTGGGAAGACACCGCGTCATGATGAAAAATCGCATTATTTATTTTTACCGTACAATTGAAGAAAATATTATTCTAAAAGTTGTTTAAATAGACGGTCCACATAATACTTCGAAGATTCATTCACTTTTGGGGGGACTTTGAAAAGTGGGAGGACACCACGACATTGCACCCACGACCATCAACTGTTTAAAAAAGTTCTCCTCGCTTAAAAGCACCAAATTTCTTTAATTGTTTTCGGCATTTGTCGTGTAGCAAGCTCTTCGAACCCAATTAGTAACTTGTAGGGAAAATAGTGCTTCGTCGATTGCCACCAATAACTCACTCTGAAAATTTAAATATTTTTTTTGCAAATACAGCCGAGATTTTTTCTGGAACAAGTTAAAATGACTATGTCAACCTCTGGGGGTTGTGTGGGAGGCATTTTTGAACGTAGAGTTGAAATTTTGCACACACCTATCTGAGGATAACATGCTCGTCTGTTCAAAAATTTGACCCGCAACGACAAACCGTTTCGGGGTTATTCAACGACAAATACGTCACCAGCAGAAAAAGCGACTCTCTGTACGACAAAAGATGAGCAACATGAAGGGCTTAATAAAAAAAATTCAAGATTATTTAAATATCAAACTCAAATACCAAGCTTTATAAAAATTTGTCAAAAGTCAACAAAGAGCTTAAGGCATCATCGGAACAAATTGATATAAAGATTAAAATCATCCAAATTTCGGATGCGCTAGAAAAAGTTCGTAGCAATGCCGGAACAACAATTTTTTCAAGGATGTATGTAAAATGACCTGAACAATTCAAAATAGAGCTGAGTCGAGCAGCGGTTTTCAAAACCCCGGCTCGCCCAATCACGGTTCGCAAAAAGCTCGGCTCAGGAAAAACTCGAAAAAGCGCGACTCGAAAAAGTATTTGCAAACTCAGTATGAACCGAGCCGTGCAAGCTCGGTTCAACTGAGCAATTGGCTCACCTCTAATCCAAAAGTCTCACCTACCAGACAAACAGTGATTATTCTTAAATTTCATGAGATAACTTATAGTTCTTGTCCAAATTATGCAAGGGAGTATAACAACGTAAAACTGGTTAAATGAAATTTTATCAAGGTAACCCTTTGTGGTGAAAACAATCGTCCAATAATTAGCATTATATGGTCGCACAACTTACAACCTAATCGAAAAAAAACTCGTGCCCCCACAAAATATTGACAGCCGCGTTCGATTTACGTCAAAAATATGAAAATGTAAAAATTTGATGACGTGAAGAATGGCTTGAACATTTTTTAAAAATTAGTTTTGTACTAACTGCAGTTTCGAAAAAGAAACATTTTCTTTACAGAGAAAAATGTTACCGGATTAAATTCACACCCTTTGCATGTGTCTAATAGAAACCTTGGCGACGAAGTTTACAATATTTTTGACTAAAAAAAGTCTCGAACATTCTAGTGAAAAATTAAACCAAGAATTGAATGCACACGCCTCACATTCAAAACTGGTATCCAGATTTATCTTCGCATCCTACGTAAGTATCGTAAAATAGCATAGAAATCAAAATCGAAGAGTCAAGCTTCATAAAAACCGTAAGCTTATAATGGGAGACCTGAAGTGATTTTCCCCGATTTTGACCGGACAAATTTTAAACATTTCGTGATCGGAAATAATCCTTTTGCTTTTTCTTGAATGCGCGTAGTTTCCCCTTTGCCCGAATTTTTAACCAAAATCAGGATTTTTTAAAAGCTGTAACTTCTACAATTTTAACCCGATTACAATTATTTAAAAAAAAACAGAAAATAGTTTACTAGAAACTTTTAAAATTTGAAATTTTCATACAACTTTGGAAGTTTGAAGAATGCAAAAATATCAAAATTTTTAACATTACGAGTTTTCGAAATGTAATTTTCCTTATTAATGTTCTTTCATTTCTAAAATCAGTTTACAATTGAAAAAGTAATAGAATTTTGAATGATTCTGATTTGGGTAAAAATTCCGCCACAAGGGTAAATACGTAAATCCACGAAAATGCAAAACTGTAGATATTTTTAATTTTTGTGCGCCAACAATTTAAAATTCGTCCGATTCACATCGGAGAAAATCATTTGGTGCTTACATACATATGTATGTACACTGGAGAGCAAATGTGAACGCCCAAAACCACAAGCACAATTCGGATCATAGTTTCTCAATAAGTACGGGGAATTTTTGAAAGGTTGTTATCTCATTTTGAAGACAACTTAGTACACAAACCTTCACCAAAGTAAATTTGCTGTAAGATTATTTTTCACTCCGTACGGAACTTCGGCGTCAAATTAAGAAATGAGCATTGGTGCAAAAGTCATCGCCACAAACAATTAAAATAACAGCAGTTTTAAAATTACGAAAGTAGGATAACATCCTTTTTAATTTCTAAGTACACCTACTATTGAGGTATATACAAAATAATTCCTCTCCAAATAAGAAAATGTATGCGAGGAGAAAATGTGCAATAATGAAACAACAATCGTTATTCGGGATCTGGTCATTCAGCATTACGAAAATAGGGGGAAGACGCAAGAAGAATTAGCTCATTTGGTCAAAAAATCTCGTCAACTGTCCGTGACATCATTTCACGTTACAAATTAACGGGATCTATCGAAAACAGACAACGAGGAGGACGTCCACCAAGTTTCATCACGCGCGAGTAGAAAATATTTGCTCGAAAAGTGACCACAAATCTAAAACCTTCGTCTCCCAAGATTTCTGGTGAAATAGAAAATGATGTTGGAAGTATTTAGTGGTTGGGCAAGCTGGAGAGTATTGAAAAACAGTGCTCAAAAAAATTATGGAGCCAGGAGGAAGCCTACATATCAAAAACGCACTAGAAGAAAATGTTAGATTTGCAAGGCAACACACAAATAACGATTAAAAATTTTGGGAATCACTCTAATGGCTGCTAAGGGTAAACTTAATGTTTTAGGGTCGGATGGAAGGGTTCGAGTATGGAGAAAAGTCGGAGAATCTGACAAATTAAAAAATCACAACGACACCTTGAATGATGGCGGAGGATGCGGCATGATATGGGAGTGTTCAGCTCCGCTGGGGACGGTACGCACGAATTCATCAATTCACCAAGCACCAAATTATGTACCAAGACCTACTAAAGAGAAATGGTTAACAATTAGCAGCAAAACTAGACCTTGGATGGCGCTACACCTGTTAGTAGCACCGCGACCCTAAACGCACGGCCAAGTCCACCTATGAATTCTTTTGACCAATAAGATTAATGTTCTCGAATGGCCTCCACAAGGACTAGATCTCAGTCCTACTGAACATAGGTGCATAGGAACATATATTTAGAGATCCGAGAACGCTAAATTTCAAGCAAAGCTGACGTGAAATCAAAAATCTAAGCCTTGTTGAGTGACGTCAAACCTGGTGTCACTAAGACATTGGTTGCGTCCATGCAACGTCGCTGATAGGCTGTCATATTTTCTAATGGACGTCCAACAACATATTAATTGTTAATGGTTTACTTTAAAATTGAAAATTGCAGAAATATTAAATGTTTTATTCATTTTGGCGATCACTTTTGCACCGGCTGTTTTTACTTTTTATCAAATCTACTCACTTGTGATGAAAACTATAAACGTTTATGTAGACTATTTGATACAAATTTGTTGAATATTAAATTGTCTACAAAACGCAAAAAAAACTTCTGGAAAATTTCTTATTTTAAAAAAGTTACAAGCAATCTAACCGCAAGCTTTCTCTTGGGCGATGACATCTGCTCTCCAGTGTACATGCGTATTGTCAGTAGTGTGATTTTTAAGTTCAATTTTACGACGTTTATAAAATCTATTAGCTGTCGTAACTTATTTTTCGATACAAAAATACTAAGGGTACGAATTCCCCTGATTTGTAACATATATATGTAACTTCATACGTAACCTCCTTTTTTATTTTTTTATTTTTTTTTAATTTTTCGCGATTTTTTAAGTATTTTTTTTTTATTTCCTCGGGCTCTGGGGGGGGAGGGGCTCAAGCCCCCCTAGCCCCCCCCTTGGCTACGCCGCTGATCCATAGTGAATAGGTACATATTCGCTAAATATCATTATCGATTTGCTTATACACAATATGTGGATTTATAATGAATTTCAAATTTAAATCAATTTTAAATGAACTTACACTTTAGTTGAGATTTAACTACAATACAAATCAACAATGTAAATATACATCCAAATTACTGATTACATACATCAGTACATACATACATTTACAACGTAGATAATTATTTATGTATCATGCCACTGGCTTTATTATGAGCGATACCCCTTTCAAATATGTCGATACAATGTTGTTCAAAATATTTAGTCACACTAAACGTAAGGACAACCTAATTACTAAATTGTAGGTCGCTCCAATCTACCAAATACTGAATTTCTAAGCAGCACATTTTTGGTCGCCGCAAGAACCATGGCAGAACAATTAGTCAATTCTACGCCACCGCATTTGGAACAAATTGTAATCCTTTCAAGGTTGGTTGCCTTAGTCAAACTAATATTATTGCCACTGATATTAATTCCGTGGCAGTTTATATTGCTTGCTGCCACATTGTCCGATTCGATATTGAGAATAAGGCGTGAGAAGGAATCATTGGTACAATTTTCTATACTGTTGAAATTCGCTCGCATCAAAATAAAAATTATCCCTAGCGTAAAATCTCCTTGGAAGGTTACGCGGGAAAATTTGTTATACATACCCTCAGACAAAATGCAATCACGGTTTGATCTAATGTTGGAAAATGTGGCGACTAAATTCTTGAAAAAATCGGTCGTTTCTGGTACACTGATGTCGAATAAAGTTGTGTCTCCTGTAAGGCAGATATCGTCGATAGTATTTCGGGACCCAGTGATATGTATTCCTTTTATAGCTACCGATACCTGTATCTTATCAAGTTTGTTGTCATTGCCTTTTATTTTAACAGAATATGCTCCACCAATAAGTATGAGATCACTAAAAGAATTCATGTCACCCTCTACTCTCAAGCAATTAAATCCAGCATGCTCCCCACTTTTGGAAATTTTAAGGTTTAAAATTCTGTGGCCCATTCCCTTCACGACAAAACTATTAGAACCAGAATTTGTGAAGACAGTCTTCTCTCCCTTCCCAACAATAGTAATGCTTTCACCTTCTACGACAAAATTTCCGTCATATTCTGCCTCAATCAAAAATATTTTTGATCCTGGTGTCGCCCCTTTTAATAATTTGCGTAGTTCCTCCCCATTCCTCGCAGTCAGAAGGTGGCCCTCCTTCGAGTCACATAATTCCTTTTGTGCAAATACCTTTTGAACCTGCTCCAATTGTTGAAACCTGTCTGAAGCACTTTTTTTCGTCAACGCTATGATAAGTTCGCGTAACCCCCCAATTTGCGGATGTAATGTAATCAAGCTGTCCTCCTTGTCGTTCACAAGTCTATCGAACATTGTGCTCCTTTTATTTGACTCAATGAGCTGAGCCACATCGCAAATTATTAACCCCAACGAGAAAATATCTGCCGGAAAACCGTACTCATTTTGTCGACATTCAAAGGCCATATAGTCGAACGTTCCAATCCTACTTGTAAGAGGATTAGTTCGACTTTGCTCCTAGTGTAAATGTCGAGAAAGGCCAAAGTCTCCGATTTTCACCGGAAGTATAAATCCTGTCTTGGAGAACATAATGTTTTCCGGTTTTAGGTCGCGATGCAGAATTTTATTTTTATGCAAATGGACCAACCCGTCGATCAGGTTTTTAACGATTGCATATTGTTGATGGTGTACTAATGAATCCGACTTATCGTGTTTCTGGTAGAGCCATTGCCTTAAAGTCTCGCCGCACAGTTCCATCTGGATAAGGACTCCAGGAAGCTCCATGGGGCGGGTTAGCCTCGCAAGGAAGAGGTCCTTGACCATTTTTTGTGCAGCATTTGTGAACAATTTGTCCGGTAATATGTCATTTATCAGAGATAAAGTGAAGACATCTTCAATTGTATGCATAACCTATAAATAAACGTAAAAAATTGCATTAACCTCTGGTTATATTACGGAAATTACATATTTAATAACCCTATGCTACACAAGGCTGACCTTCACAATGTTTTCGTGGTGGTCGAGCGTTTTGAAGCTGCATTCTCGCAGGATTTGCTTCTGTTCGGTTCCTTCCATTTCGGGTCGAAGTATAAATTTTACAGCCGTCTGGGATCCGTGCTCACGATTTGTTGCTTTTAACACTAAGCCGAATGCTCCAGACCCTAAGCAACTTTCGAACTGTAAGGACGATAAGTACTCCGTAATCGAAGTCCGGGTAGTAGCATGGTTTTGAAGTAAATTTGACCCCATGACGAGCTATTCTCGTAGTCAATCGTATCTCCACATTAGTAGTTTTAGTTTCCTGAGTATTACCGTTAAATCTACATATTTATTTTAAAAACAGTAAAAAAAATTCTTAAAAAAAACTAGAAGTTCAATGAATTTAAATATTATTTAGTGTACCAAGGATCGTGCGAATAATTTGCAATTACTTCAAAAAATGCGCGTGAAAAATGTGACTCTCGGATTGTTTTTTAGACGTGACTATTCTTGTCGATAATCTTAATTATCTGTCAAACCTCTGTAGTTATTAGCCACGGAATCCAGCAACGTCGTCATTGCAAGAAGGCAGTTGACACACAGAAAGGAGACTTATCATGGTCAACTTGGATGAATATCCTAAATTTTGAATGGAGGTCTCCCAGCGAATGGCCTCGGATTTCGACGAAATTAATATCAATCGATCACAAATTTGATGCTAAGGAGATTTGCAAACAAAACTTTCTGTTTACTCGGCAGACATGTATTTGAATTCTATCTTCTCGAACAAAAGTTGACAAAATTTTGCACTTTACACATTTGCTGCGCACTTTGTTCAACTCTATCCCTTGTAAATGTGATGCGAATTAAATTCGTGATCGTCTGACACAAATTCGGTGAGCAAACGCTATGACACCTCCATCGTTAGTTATCTTTTAATTGAGGGTTCTTATCACAATTATCACAATTGTCCAACTTATCTCAATTTATCATTTGCTTTCAATTGCAATTTTCAGTACATACAGAACTTGTGCATACATGGATGCAAATATACATATGTAGCTTATATGCTGGCTAAATTTTGTGAGCCCGTGAATTCAGGGGTTTGAGAGTAACTGGAATAAACTTAATTATGCAGAAATATTTTGCTTGTTCGAGTTCGAATCAATTAATCATTACCCTCGAATTGTACCACTTATCGTATCAAGTCAATTTTTTGGCACACCTTACATACTTTATTTTGCGATCATATGCTTCGTGTGAAACTATTTCTTACCTCTCTAGATCGCTTATTGCTGATATTTTATGGGTCATACGAAGGAATGAGACATATGTACATCTTACAATGGAGTTTTCCCAGATTACGCTCTCGGATTTTGACCAAGTTACAAATTGCATTGTTTGCCCGTGCGCAGGTTAGGCAGAGATAACAATTTACATCTAAAGAGTCTACAGAAAATACGTAGTAGATATGTAAGACGTACAATTTTCTTGGCTGCATTTTCTCCTCTTTTGGTGCATAATCACTTTCAAACCTTCGCATTTGCAGATAATGCATGTCATTTGAAAAATTCATCTTATTTAAATTTGTTATCGATTGACACTTGAAGAATATCAGTGAGCGTCCGATATTGTTAGACAATTAACCGTTTTTTGATTGGTTGAAATTTTCAATTAATTAATGTTTTTATTTTTTAATTGTCTGTAGAAGTAAAATTTTTGCTTTCAACTCGAATTGAGGTCTTTTACACCCACATCATACATAAATTGGTAGTCCATCAATCCATGTGTATTACTTAAATGGGTATATGTATTGTATGTACCTACTTACAATGCACATGTCAGACATGTTTCGCACGGATCTTTTTGAAACCAGCACTTAAATCTCTTTTTAAACACTTTTTACACTTTTTAATACTTAAAATAAAAATTAAGTTGTTATCAGTGGAATTTTTTAAGGATTTGTTCAGAATAGTGGATTTGATTTTCCTTTAACTTTCTTTCACGTTGTATATTTATATATGTAAATTTATTTGACAGTAAAAAAAAATATACCAAATTTCCCATGTGTCATAAGGGCCAACATCACACAAAGTCAAATGATTTTTGTCATCAAAATCTTTAAAGACATGCAACGCGGTTACAAAAATGCCATCAGCAATAGCAGACCTTAATCATCTGGATTATGACTTGCGGCTTAAAATTGAGACCATGGCCTGCTCTAAAACTTCCATTGGTGCAGAAGTTCTAAAATTTGATTTCTCAACGCTTGTGACCATTTTCCGGTAGAAACCGCGCGTGCTCCAAGAGACCGGCCGCCCATCAGATTTCTTAAGTGTGTGTACTCCAAGAGAAGAAATTTTGAAACTTAGTATTTTTGTAATATATACAGGTAGTTTAGGCATCCACGTGGAAAATTTGAAATAAAAATACTTACCCGTTATTTTTCTATACCAAAAAACGTTTATCAAAGAATTTACTGACTGACTAACGTATCTATAAATGTAGCGTACGACTTATTCCAGCAATAAGTAAAACATTAAATCTATTTTTATTGTATCTATCTAGAACAATATCCATGGTGAATTTGTGTATGTATATGTTATTCGCTAAATATTATCATAGGTTTGCATTCATACATATGTGCATTTGTAACGAATTTTAAATTTAAATCGATTTGTTATACATACCCTCAGACAAAATGCAATCACGGTTTGATACAATGTCGAAGAATTTGGCGAAAAAACCGGTCGTTTCTGGTACACTGATGTCGAATAAAGTTGTGTCTCCTGTAAGGCAGATATCATTAATCGGATTGATGTTGACCGAAAGGGGCTAAGAAGAATGTGCCTGAAGATGGATTGTTAATTAAATAATTTAATGTAATTTTAAATAATTTTAAACCGTTTCACAAGATTTTAATATTAAATATATATTATATTGCTTTCACTAACTAATCATGGCACTAACGAAACCAGCTCAATATCTTAACTAAATTCTTTATAATTATGAATTTTATGTACTCTATGGGCAGATTTTGCCCGAAAGGGTTTTATTAAATTAATAAATCAATCAATCATCAAATTATTATTTGCGAAGTATTTGGAAAGTATAGTACACGGATTCCAAAAGCTTATAGAATTTTAAAAAACCGGCGATTGCGGCAAGATCCGACATGTGGGCCGAATTCGTTAGCCACCCGTGGAACGCATTCGGACCGAATTTGATTGTGTATCGGGTTGTGTCTCCTGTAAGGCAGATATCGTCGATAGTATTTCGGGACCCAGTGATATGTATTCCTTTTATAGCTACCGATACCTGTATCTTATCAAGTTTGTTGTCATTGCCTTCTATTTTAACAGAATATGCTCCACCAATAAGTATGAGATCACTAAAAGAATTCATGTCACCCTCTACTCTCAAGCAATTAAATCCAGCATGCTCCCCACTTTTGGAAATTTTAAGGTTTAAAATTCTGTGGCCCATTCCCTTCACGACAAAACTATTAGAACCAGAATTTGTGAAGACAGTCTTCTCTCCCTTCCCAACAATAGTAATGCTTTCACCTTCTACGACAAAATTTCCGTCATATTCTGCCTCAATCAAAAATATTTTTGATCCTGGTGTCGCCCCTTTTAATAATTTGCGTAGTTCCTCCCCATTCCTCGCAGTCAGATGGTGGCCCTCCTTCAAGTCACATAATTCCTTTTGTGCAAATACCTTTTGAACCTGCTCCAATTGTTGAAACCTGTCTGAAGCACTTTTTTTCGTCAACGCTATGATAAGTTCGCGTAACCCCTTAATCTGCGGATGCAATTCAATTAAGCTGACCTCCTTGTCGTTCACAAGTTTATCGAACATCTTACTCCTGTCATTCGACTTTATGAGCTGAGCTACCTCCCAGATCATCAACCCCAACGAGTAAAGATCGGCCGGAAAGCTGTAATCATTATCTAAACATTCTGAGGCCCTATAGTCTAAAGTCCCGGTCCTACTCGTGAGAGGATTAGTTCGACTTTGCTCCGAATGTAAATGACGAGAAAGCCCAAAGTCCCCGATTTTCACCGGAAGTACAAATCCTGTCTTGGAAAACATAACGTTTTCGGGTTTTAGGTCGCGGTGCAGAATTTTATTTTTATGCAAATGAGCCAAACCGGCGATCAGGTTTTTAACGATGGCGTATTGTTTCTTGTGAAGTGCTGAATCCAATTTATCATGTTTCTCTCGTAGCCATTGTCGTAAAGTCTCACCGCAAAGTTCCATTTGGATGAGGACACCCTCAAGCTCCTGAACGCGGGTTAGCCTCCCAAAGTAAAGGTCTCTGAACGATTTGTCCGCTTCATTTTTGAATAACGCCTCCGGTAACATGCCATTTAGCTGGGATAAAGTGAAGCTACCTTCAATCGTATCAATCACCTAGAAAGAAATAATTTTGCATTAACTCTACCGTGCGGTAGTCGAAGCATTTCATTTATTTTCAACATTTACCTTCACGATGTTTTGGTGTGGGTCGAGCGCTTTGATGTTGCATTCTCGCAGTATTTTCTTCTGCTCCGTTCCGTCTTGCGTTGCTGGTGGAAATATAAACTTTACAGCGGTCTGCGATCCGTTCGCAAGATTTGTTGCTTTTAACACTAAACCGAATGCTCCAGATCCTAGGCAGGATTCGAACCTCAAAGACGATAAGTACGGCGCTGTCAAACTACGTGTTAGTGTATTTTTTTGAAGTAAATTGGATGCCATCTCTTGTAGCTAAGCTTCTAGTTGGTGTATAAATAGTTGTATGAATATTACCAATACCTAGTTGTAAATGGATTTAATAAAACAGCACAAATTTAAATTTATTTTAAAAAACGAATAACTGAACGTAAATTATATCAATTTTACCAAGAAATGTGTAAATGATTTCAAATTGTAGTACGCGTGAGGCAAAAGGTGATACTCCGACTGTTTTATTGAGACGTAGCTACTCTTTGTCACACATGATGCTAATTAACTTGCAAAACTTTACATGGGTGGCCCCTGAATCCAATAACAGTAGCAGGGTAGTTTACACATGCATAGAAATGATAATTCTCCTGTTGAACTCTGATGAATATGCTAAAGTTAGAATATGTAGAGGTCACCCGTCGTATGCCGTTAGATTTTGACAAAATTAATATATTGATTTTAGAAATCAAGTTGAAATTAAATTTGGGAAAGGCACGTTATGCTAGGTTAGCAGAGAAATTTGCATCTGATGGGGAGAACATACGTCGTAGATATGTAAGGTTAGTGTAAAATGCGGCGAATTTTCCCCTAATTGGATGCAAATAATCTGCTAAAAGCGACAATTGGAAGCTCGTGTATTTTCTAAAGGTCATAAATACTAACCATATTTCCGATCGTGTAAGACAACTTTAGCCGAAATATGTGAGCATACGCTGCGACACCTCTATTGCTAGTTATCTCAAACTGTGGTTTGTTATCATAATTGTCTCCCTTATCTCAACTTATCATTTGCTTTCAATCGTAATTTTTAATACATGCAAATATCGCGTATGTAAACTACCAGCTTAAATTTTGTAAGCCCCGTGATACGAGGGGTTTGAGAGTAACTCGTAATAAAATTAATTAAATAGAAATGTTTTTCTGGTTTGAGTTTGATCAATTAATTCCTTATCTTGACGTGCACAAATAATCATACAGCGTAATTTTTTTTGCACACCTTACCTTACTTCGTTTTGCAATAATATTTAGTTACTACACAGCAATATTTCTCGCCTCTCCAGGCCGAAGTTTTCTGCTATTCTACATATGTAGGTATGGTTCATCTATTAAAAATGCGTCATTTTTTATAAATCTATTCTACACATTTTATTGATTTTCCTATAAACGGGCTTGGTGTGTGTCAACGGTTCAAAGTTTTCAAAACGTTATTAGTTTTGAAAATATGTGAAGAATTGCATGAACGGCTCAAACTCAAAATTCAAAAAAAATATAACATGCACCAAATAGTCTTCTAGAAAAATTGACGCATTTTTAATAGATGAACCATAGATAGGTAGGCAGGTTTTTATTAAACTGAATTGATGTGGCCATACGGCCTTACAAGTATACACACGATTTAAATTATTTAGTAAGTATCGTACATAAATATATAATGCATACATACGTATGTATACAAGTTTAATTAATAGTTTAGCATCATCATATGGGTCATGTGTAGAGTTAAAAATTGATATGTGAGTGAATCAGTTTATTTCACTTATTATCATTGCATACGCATTACACAAATTACCCATCAGAGAAGCTGACTGCAAAGGAGTAGTACCTACATTAAAAATCCCTAACCTGAATAAAAAACGAGGAAATCATAAAAAAGTCAAAATAAGTTAAAAAATTGATTGGTGTGCACAGTAAAAATTCGAGGTAACCCTTTTTTGTGTACAAATGATTCCAACACTGTACATTGTAAACCGTGTCCTACCGGGAGTAAGATCGTCAATGCGATATGGTGTTAACCCATGAGTGACAGGGTGCCGAGTAAATGTTGACTGGCTTACTCGTCCCCGTGTTAATGTTACCCAGGCACGAATTATGCCACTGCGATTTACTCCTCACGGAGTAAAAAGGGAGCGTCGGGCGGCACGAAGCTTTGTCAGTCTACAACTCGCCAAAATAATTTTATAACTTCGTCTGACTACCATAAATTTAATAATTCTGCTGAGGTAACTAATTAATAACATATCTACATTTAATAATAATTATGTGGTTAGCATAATCCTATATTCTTTGGTGCACAAACTACTTACTATATAGTGATGTCCAGTTTTATTGAAATATAAGAGAAATGTGATTTGAGCGATTACTTCCAAAGTTTCTAGGTCAGTTTTTATTATAATTTTGTGGGGATTTGAAATCATTCGTACTAAATATGTAAAGCTGTTTTATTTTTCAGATAACCACATATGCGATGACACCTTGTCGACATTCGAATAGACCTGGTTGAACTTGTTCCGAGCATTGACATCGCTTTAAACTTTGGACAGCCATTACAAATTCGGGCAACTATCTTACTATTTATTGGATTTTACAGTTATAGATAGTTGATAAGCATAGAAATAATTTTAAATTGTTACCCACAATTTTGTTACACCGGATTAAATACGGAGTTTTTAAATGAATTTAATATTAATTGTTCGTTAATACGCATATATGCATTACCTGGATAACTCAAAAACCAGTAAAAACAACCCTGTAGCAGACTACATACTAACTCGGTACCGAGTTAACTGTAACTCCTTTACGAGTTATACGCTAACCCTGTGCGGGGCTAGTCACCAACTCGCTCAGGGTAAAGTCGGTTACCCTTTGTCGAATTCGCTCGGTTTACTCTGCACAGCGTGGAATCACTTTCAAGTCCGCACAGTATTATATTTTACTCTGCACGGACTTAAAAATTTTTACTGTGTGTACATACAACTATGTAAGGTCCCCCAACGTACGCTCTCCAATTTTTAATGTATGGTCGTCAATTAATCACAAGTTATACATGAAATTTTCAAAGGACTCTATCCGCCAATTTTTATATTTTGCAGATATTTGTCTCCCTCCGAAGAGGAGAAAAAGCGCAGAAAATTGAGAAAATTTAAAATTTGTTAACTTTCTCATCCTTTTGACTACAGAGGGATTCTGAGGGAAATGTGCCACGAAACGTGTTTCCATTTTCGAGAGAAAAAGAGAAAAACTAGGATTCTGGTGTGTGTCTACCACCATCGCGTGTCAGGGTCGTAGGAGAATCCTGTCTCACTTTATTTCTCTACAGTTTAGTGGGTATGGTTTGTTACGGCTTTTGCCGTATAAGCCCCTTCCTCAGAAACTTTGACCCCAAAAATCTCATGGTTGCGGCCATTTCTCTTCGGACAACAAAAGCTGAAAATGTAGCGATTTCCAAATAGAAAAATCTGGCATCAGGTTGTCAGCCGAGAAATGGCCGCAACCATGATTTTTTTAACCATTTCTATGTAGGTTCAAAAACCGCCAATTTTCAAATTTTGAAACTTTCGATGCATCAAAATATCCGTATTTATGGAGGTATTCAAATGTCAAATGCAAATTGTGGTCTAATTCCTGTTTTCCCGAGTATGCATAGACTTTCTCATTTTTCCAATTTTCCTCCTCCAATTTTTGAATGGGGTGTGGTTACATATAATTCAAAAATATCTATACTGCATTGACCGCAGCATTCGGAATTTTACTTGCAATTTTTTATATTTAATTCGGTGAAATCGATGCAACGTGGAGCGGTACATTTCCCTCAGAATCCCTCTACATTTGTTTAACTGTAGTCAATGAAACGTGCGTACATATGTGCACATTTAGGTTTACATATGATTACCTTATGAAATTTGTTGCAAAACTTGCTTCCGATTTACATATTTATCCAAAAACATATATGCATACATAAATATAAAATTTTTCATATGAAACCTGCAAATGTGCAGTTAGATATTTCATAATAAATAATTTACATATACCTACATACATATTTATAAACGAGTGCAGTTTATTTTATGAACGTCCCCATACCGTCTAAAGTTGAACCGTTGCAACCCAGCATTTTGATATACATACTTTTAACTTTTCTACTCCCGCCTAAACAGGATTTCTTTCCGTTTCAAGTAAGACATCTCCCCCAGAGGGACCAGTCCTCAGTCCGCGGTCACTTCGAGATATAAAAACTCCAAAGAATTCCTCTGCCTTTGCACGACCTTTTCAACCTGTCGAATCTTACATTCATCAATAAACCAGTTAATCTCGAAGCTAACTAAACCCGGCCTTAACCTGTTCAATACTTCCATTCCGTCCCAGTTAATCTTCTTAATTCGTACCTCCCTCAACCTCAGATAGGATTCCATATTGGATACAATTTCCCGCAAAAAATACGTATTCATCGGGGCATTGCATGACTTTAGATATAACGCGGACACCTTGTCACTCAATTTTATCAGCGAGCGGGTCAACTTTTCATACAGAGCCGGTCTAATCGTCGACGAACCGTTGGGATCCATATCGATCTCGAACCTTTTAAGGCGCGAGAATTCTATAAGGGGGAAACATTCGGAAATGCTTCCTCCGCAAATTCATACTTTTGAAAACAAACCGCCAATTCTTCCAAAAAACTGGCCAATCGTTTCAGCAACCTGGCCAAAAGCACGTTATTTACGTTGCGACAGTAGATACAACTCAGGCGGCGGATCGAGCCACAATTTTCGAGCACCTTGCCGAAATCGACACAAAACATGTAAGGCGCCACGGTTTCAGCTCCGGCATCGAGACGTTCCACGTACCAATTCGGGTGGGCGAATGGTAGCATTTCGGATGCATAGAAAAGAAACCGGGACATCTTGACGGCTTCGAGATAAGCGCGGTAGACGTGAAACTGGAACCGAATTTCGGATCGGGACTTAACCCAGGGGACGGCTTCACTCTCCTAGAAGGATGACACGAGACGACAAGTTTTTAAGGTTGGTAGGGTCAGGAAGGAAAATATTTTGGAGAGTGTCTAAAATTTTTGAAAATTTAAGTCACTTACATTTTGAACATACTGAAATGATGGAAATTGGGTTTTAGGAGAAATTATGACATAGTTCCTATTTACCGATGTGGTATTTACCAATGTGTGATTCTGAGGGGTCACTTGGGAAATATCTGTATACAGGGAAGCAGGGATTCTCAGACGGGTCGGACGTGGTGGGAATGCGTCTAGCCTGAAATTACCGTTAAAAAAATGAGCGTACTCCAGGGTTTGGAAAACCCCGGGGTTTTTGTAGAAAAACCCAACCCCTGGGGTTTTTCCGGGGTTTTTGGGGTTTTTGTGGGTTTTTGGGTTTTTGTGGGTTTTTGTGGGTTTTTGTAGATTTTGGGGCAGGTTGAACCAGAATTCCTAAAATTATATATTAGAGATAAACTAATTTTATATACAATTTTAACATGCAATTTTAACCGTTATCATTGATTTGGACTGTTACATCGAAAATTTATGTTTGACATGTAAATCTGGATATATGCAATGATATTTGGAAATTCAAGTCGCAAATGAAGATTCTCAAAATTTCAAGATGAAGTAGAAAAGTTAATTAGCATTGATCTACGTTGTAGTTTAAGGGATTTTGTTTCAATCTACCTCAAAATCCTACAAAAACCCCGGAAAAACCCACAAAAACCCACAAAAACCCGCAAAAACCCCAACCCACAAAAACCCGGGGTAGCGAACCCTGGCGTACTCACGTCAACTTTCGCATCTCTCGCAAATCTCGCCAATTGAGCATGGCTACATAGCTTGTCAAATTTTGCGAGATTCAGCAAAGCTTTTCTCGAAAACAATGAGAGTTTGTTTGCAGAGCTGTTTAGCAATTGGAATGTTCTTATTCCTCAAGATAATTTCGCAAATTCATCCTCGGCATTACTAGCTAGAGAAATTACAGAACTCCATGGAAATGACATCAAAATCGGAGTTTGCGAGATTTTCGAAGTCATATTTTGCGAATCCCCTTACGACACGAATTTTGTCATCTTCGCAAGTTTACTAAATAAATGGGGTGCGATGCGAAATATCTAAGACGTTGTCGTGAGGTGTAAATATGTATTCATATATTTACACTGTAAATAATCGGTAATAAACATTACCGAAAAGCAAAAGTATGTGACTCTACCAAAGTGGTAATGATAAGTTGTACCGTGTGGTAATGCCTTGGTAATAAAGTTTTACCATCATAATAACGAATTTTTGCTGCCTGGTAAAATATTTTACCAAATTTATTATCGAGAAATCATTACCTGCGTGACTTTATCGGATTATTAAGAGTGTACAAATGTAAGTTGTTTACCCCATTTTCGTTCATACATATTTATATATTATAGTCTGGCCTGACGCACGCAATCACTTTCATGACTACCATAGCGATACGAGTGATATTCCCCAGAATATATGTAAATATACATATATTTAACAAAACAATTGCGATATTGCATTAACCTAATCCGTATCTATCGTATATATTTATTATGAAAAGTTATTTTGACATTATGTAAAAGTCTCATTTGCTAGAATTTTTAGCATATGTCTGACATACTCTGACATACTATACTTCGGACATCCGGTTGCCTTAAAATGTTTAAAATATTCTCATCAATTATGGCCAAACCCAAGGTAACTATTTCTTTTCTCGAAGTTAAAACTGGTGAAATGCAAAATGTTCTAAAGTGCATGAATTCCTTGTCTCTTACTCAACCGTGCATAGATACATGTGTATACCAACTCGTCCCAAAATAAGTATTCGAACTTTACATAACTCTGTTAATATTATTACAAAATTGCCATTCTGCAAAAAAGAAATGCATTCTACATCCATTTACATAAATATGTTCAATTCGAATAAGAAATATACATATGTAATATTCTCAAGCCAATCCGCAATTCAGAGTAAATTTCAAAAATGCAGAGAATAATCATAAAAATGAAAAAGTGGTCTCGGGTTCCCACTTTTCTCCAAAATATTTTAAAACCTTCCAAACCTAAAGACATCCCAAGATCCGAAAATGCCTTAATTTCACCATGCTTGTGGGAAATTTGGGCGCAATACGCCTCTTCCTACCGACATTTTCATCATTTCGGAATTTTGGTGCAGAAGAGGCAAATATATTTCAAAAAATGCTACCCCTTGAAGCCAATATTTCTAAAAGTGTTGCCCCTTCTCGTCATTTCTTACACCGTGACAACGTTCCTTCTACTTTGCGATAAACTCTATTTCAAGCGCATTGACGAAACGGTAAGTCCGCACGAAGAAACGGTTCGGATCTGGGCCATGTTTTACATCACCCTTGTTTTCCCCGGAATCATCCTGAGCAGTTTAATCCTCGGGTTTCGAGCTAGACTAGCTTGTAAATTGTTCAACCCGGCTGACCAATTTCGTAGCCGAGTAAGAGGTAAATAAACCGTAGTAACGTTAGAAGTAGCTCACCCTGTAATAATGATTTGGTTATAACTTGCCCCAAAGGTGCAGAAAAATGCAACAAAATAGATACATAATTTTTTGGCAATTATGCACCAATGGTGCAGAAAAATCCAACAAAGTAGATCAATAATGTTTATGCAATATTGCACCAACGTTGCAGAAATATT